ATGAATGACACTATATAAAATGAAAGTGTCATTCGTATTATGAATGCATTTCAATGTAAATATCAATATAGGCAAGCCTACCACTCTCGCACGCGGTCTATTCTTGCGCGCGATGGCGATATGTTCGGCAGCTAAACGCCAATGTCTTAGGTCTGTAAGCCACCACGAGAGAGAGCCTTCAGGAGAGAGAGTTGGTGTCGTTCTGCTGTCCCTTCTCTGTTGAATGAGTGCTCCAAAGTTTTGGTTGCATGGCCACAATCGCACCGCTGTGGCTTGTACACCGATTGAAAAGCCGGCAATCGTCAAAAGCCACGAGTGGATTTGGAAAATAAAACGCTTGGTCAGACCTTCATCGCCGTGCCATTCAAATACACCACCAATCCCAGCAGCGACCGCTTTAGTAAGGGATAATGGAGAGGCGTGGGCAGAGACTGGCTGCAAGTCGAATGTCAGGTCGCATAAAACGTATGCACCGTCGCAAAGTCTCGGCTGTGAACGCAGCACGATCGCTGCTGCACAACGCCCAGCGCTTTGCGAATCGGCTGAATAGAATTCCTTTTTAAGCGATTGAAAAATCTTTTTTTTTACTACCGTTAAGCAATTATACTAACTGTAACAAACATTCATGGGATTTTCTGCAGAAACGCTGTGGGCAGGAAGCAACGATGACATCTAAATCTGAGTACATCATATTAATTTGCGTCGCAAAATAGAGAATGGTTCACACGGAAAAGCCATGGGTTCACAAGTGCTAAAACACACTTCTTTCAGTGCCTTTGGTGACATTGCCGGGCTATACACAACAGTAAAGTGCTGCAAAAGGCGTTTACAATTGAAGAACAGGCTCGGGCACAGCAATGGGGGGGGGGGGGGGGAGCTATGGGGAAATGTTCAAACTTTTAGAGGGTGGTTATAGAGGGTGGCACTTTACAAAAGTGAAGTGTTATTTGTATTATGATTGTTTATGCTTTTAATAATGAAAAATACGAACTTCAGCGGCGGTTGTAGTTTTATCCAAATCGCATTTGGCTCCAGCTCTTTACGGGTGGTGTGGCCAGTCGAGCCATTGTGCCTGGAGGGGGGGGGGCACACTGCGATGGTAAAACTATAAAACATTTAAAAAGACAAGGCCCACTGATCTACTATATAACTAATTTTCAGAAGCGAACTGGCTATCACAAATGAAAGCTCATAGAAGCGGCTAATCATTGTGCGGAAATTTATAGCAGGAAAATACTTTTAAAATGCACGTTGATTCTAAATGTGGAGGGAAAAACCGAAGGACCCGGATACCAAATATGCAGCAGGCATCAGGGTCAAGATCGAACCCACGACCTCCTGTATACCAGGCGAGGTAGTTAACATCTCATAGCCACCGTGGTGATTCATGCCGCCAAGGATTTTGATTTTGGGTGGTGTCCAAGGGTCATTAAGTTGGTGCAGGGCCCAAACCTAACAGACACCTAGCCCATGCCCTAAAATGGATTATTCCCTTTGGATCAGTGACATGGCAAAATGAACGAAATAATATACTCTACTTATTACATTATCTATATTCTCCACGACGGTACTGATTGTTTTGATATAAGTATCGTATGATTTTTCGTCAGACTAGGGACTCATAAAATCCGTAAAGAGAGGGTCCTTGTATTTAACATCTGCCAGTTCATCACCGTTAATCCCAAGCACGCCTGACTGCTGATGAGACATTGCATGCCGAAAATGGTCCAGGGATGTGTGCTTGTATGGAACTGAATCATCGCCGCTGAAACGATTCACTCCCAGAAGCCCGTGCGGTTAATGGGTTGTGTAAAGAAAACTTCTAATCTCTCACGTCTATAGACACAGATACATGAAGTGGGACGTATCGTCCTGCTGTTGTGTTATTTAAATTGCCCACATCGACACAAATTACAATCAGTTTAACACGTAGCAGGCTTTCGCGACCAATATTATGCATAATCAACGTTTTTGGGTTTAGATCGCGTTATTTATAAATGTGTCGTAACCCTCCACCACCCGACACGGCCAATCAATAAAAAAGTGTCACGTTGACAAAAGACAAAATAGTTCACTGCTTTAGCCCACCGGTGTGTTGAAGAGTGAATCCACAACATAAAAAAAAATTATGAATTCACAACATTTTTTTTCATCCATAACATACATTTTTTTTAATTTTGTGGATTCACTCTTCAACAAACCGGTGGGGGCTAAAGTAGTGAACTATTTTGTCTTTTGTCAACGTGACACTTTTTTACTGATTGGCCGTGTCGGGTGGTGGAGGGTCACGACACATTTATAAATAACGCGATGTAAACCCAAAAACGTTGATTTTGAACAAATTACAATTTCAGTAATTAAAACAACGATGTTCAAACCACAGTGCCTTTTACAGTACCCTAATGCAGTGCCAGTCACGGGTTAAAGAGTACAATTGGTAACAGTTAATACTTGTCGATCCATTCAATGCAGGCCATTCAAGGTCGTGACTGCACACGTGTTTCGATCACCATTACGCAGAGAAGAGCAAACCAGTTAAAACACACGTAGCGCTTTCGCGACCGATATTATCCGCAATAGAGTTTGCTTTGGGTGAGATCGCGTGAATAAAAATGTCCCGTTAAACCCGCCACCACCACCCGACACAGCCAATCGGTAAAGTTTGTCACGTAATCACCGGCGAAACGTCGTAACTCGGGTGATGGCGGGTTTAACAGCACATTTATATTTACACGATCTAACCCCCCCCCCCCCCCCCAAAAAAAAGTCTTATGGAAGGACAAACCAGCACGGCGTGCATTTACAGAAAGCACAACACGACAATTACTGCAAGTAGTAACAGGATGCACCGAAACCGTGATTTTTGACACCTTTCACATCGTCCCTACGCTAATTTACAAGCAACGGAACTCGCCGCTGCACATTCTTGACGCCGAACGGACCCGTTCCCGTGATGCAGCGTTACCTCGAATATTACGAACTGCGCATTTGACGGCACTCCGTTTGCAACGAGCCCAGTAGCTGCGGCAACACATTCTCCCGCGCGTGAGTTTATCGAGACATCCGTGGTACGTCGGTGGCCCCGTGGGCAACAATCGTTCAATCGTGATCACTATAAAAATACACTGCAATCTGTGTGAAGTTGATTTTAGCATTTCACTTGGAGACCCCCCCCCACCCCACCCCCATAAAAAAATACCAATGGTCCAAGTACCCAGAGATGATGGATACATTTTTCTTCAAAGGCCTGGTTCAAATCGTCACGAGACCTATTTCGAGTGAACACCCAAGGGGGGGCATTAAAGAGGCAGCGACATCTTTCGCAGGTCCGCGAGCAGTTCATAGTAAGGAGGTAACTACCGTCACACTCTCATGGTCTCATGACACGCCACCCCCCCCCCCCCCCCCCCCCAGAATAACGTGTACATCAATTGCACTTTAAAGCATTCGATTGTTTAAGCAATAAAAAGACAATAAAACGAAACACCATCCAGAACGCCGGACATAGCGGAAGAGGTAGTTGGCACGGTAATCGCCGAGAGGGAGATGGACACACGACGCAAGGGCGCACGGCGGCGAGCGGAGAGCGATCGCTCCGCCGATCGACCCGATCCCGTCGCACACGGCGTTCGCTGCGGCTCACAAACACTTCACCGCGCCAAACGCTGCCCGCTGCATCTTACCAGCGTGACATCGCCGCGGCCATTCACTCGGAGCTCGCGCTCTACCGACGCCAGAAAATGTGCGGAACTCGCCATGGATTTTTTTTACATTTTGAAATGGGGAGCTTTTCCGAATAATTAGCTACAGCTGCTGCTTACGAGGTAGATCTTCCAAATGCTCTCATTTTCCTCGCTGCTAGATTCTATTTAGAGACGCCGCTGCCACCGCTTTTATTGTCTGCCGGCTGAGTTGACCCTTGGAGAAGAGCAGCGTAGATCAATTGGAGGCAGGGGGAGTGGAATAAACTTTATAAACGTGACTCCCTCTGTCTGGCACAACGCCCCACCCGTGATGCTGCAGGGCCCACCAGCGTTTGAGACAGAGGTGGCATGGAAGACCTCTCCACACTGAACTCTACAGCGGCGGTGGCCAAGACGTAAATCAGGATCCATGGGTGGGACGGTCGCAAACGATACATTTGTGGGTCTCGGGACAAACCGGGTCAAACGCCGGACACCGTGAAGCCAACGACAATTCTCGTTTCGACCGATGGCAAATAAAAAGCCCCGAACGAGAATTAAGTTAATATCTTAAGGGGCCGTCCATAAATGACGTCACGCGATTTTGGACGATTTTTTACCTCCCCCCCCCCCTTCGTCACACGGCGTCACACAAAATCAGACCCCCCCTCAAATATGCTTCAAATCACTTTAAACTATTGTCATTGTAGTAATGTAGTGCGTATTTAATGTGGCGGCACTGCACTCTTGATGTTGGAGAAAACATTTATTACAAAGTCTATTTAATTAAGCAAAACGTGTTGTCTATATTTATTTAAAATTGTGCATTTTGATGCGACGTCACATTTCTCAAACCCCCCCCCCACTCGTCACACATCGTCACAAATGTCTGACCCCCCCCCCCCCCCCCCCCCCAGATGAGTGATGTCATTTATGGATGGCCACTAACGAGAAAATGTCGAACAATAGATGGCGCTAGTATTTGGTATTACCAGGGGATTGGCAACCTTTCAACAAGGGCCATTTTTTTAGTCTGAGCCAAATAGTTCGAGAGCCGCATCACACGCGCAGAGTTACGTGTGCACAAACACGGCGGTTATACAGCAGATGACAAACAAATTCTGACTTGAATATAAACAAAATAGGTGATGGAATGAACTGCGTCTATTTAGATTTTTTCCCCACCCTTAGTAGATCGCGGAAATACAAATGTGTCGCTAAACCCGCCACCACCCGACACAGCCAATTCGTGACTGTTGTACACATTCATCTCGTCACCGAGACACTCCATAGTGACCCCACTGCCTGTCATATCTCATAAATTGCCTATTATCGTTGAGTAAAATGACGTTTAAGATTTAAAACAACGGCTGCCAGCTGGGGAGAGGGGGGTTGGGAATAGAACCCTGGCAGAGGGGCCAAACAGCCGCGCACGCTACACCGGAGCCGCAGGTTTCTGACCCCTGGGTACGTAAACTAAATCGTGCACGGGGAGCTCTTCGACTTTCGAGCGAGTTAGGATCCAGAGATCTGGGTTCGTAAGTCCAACTTTACTCCCGTCGATTCAAAAACACGTTGTACGGCATGTGCACTACACACGGGAACGACTTTAAACGTTGTATAATCTCCTGTAGATGCCGCTGGTTCTTCACGTTCTGCAGATGTAAATGCCACCACCGCCATCTATTGCGCGGTGGCTGAACCTACGACTGGCAGTCCAAACAGGCAATTGGACATACGGACAGATCTGCTCGTAAGTAGAGGAGTCCCTGTATAGAACAGGGTCATTGTTGGTGATGGCTTTGTGGTGGATCGCTGAGCCCTCTGAGATCTACCAAGAGAGTTTAACCGTGCTTGATGGATTGGCCAACGATGGCTGCGGCCCACAGTAAATATGATTATGTGGATGACGGGTCACTGGCAAACGTGCAAATGCTACACGTTGATTTTTTAAATTCGTTTGCACACTCGAAAGTGCTCGGAAATTTTGCATCGCTTCCAATGTTCTCACTCTTGTCGTTTGATCTTGAAACCATGGCTATAAGGCAGGGTGCGCAAATAATAACAATAACATTTCCACGGTTAATCTTGACTCGTTCTTACCGTGTATAGAAAAAAAAAACTACCTTCATCACGGCAACCGTCGAGCGAATCACTTGAGCAACATGGCTAGGTAAAATGTTTTTGATTTCATTAAAAAATATATATACATGCAAATGGATACTAAAATAATTACTGGTAAAATTGCGTAAAACACTCGACTCAATGCGGTTACAATTATTTGGTGGCAGGGAGGGAAATCACCCCCCACTCCCTCCGATTTGATTAAGCTGAAATTCATTAAATTCTCTGTCCACCATTTACAACTGCATTAGTTTCACATTTTACTATGACTGCTTGTTTACCCAGGAAAGTCTCAAGGTTCAGGATGATCCTGCCAGGTGTTTGCAGCAGGGTTGGGGCCGGAGGGCAATGTTGCTGCTGCTGCTGTTGTGCGTAATCCCAACTGAGTATGTTTTGTTATTGTTCTGGATGTTTGGTCAATACCAGTTACATTGTATGTTGTTTTGAGCTGTGGGAGAAAACCAGAAAACCTGGAGGAAACCGACGCAAAGCAGAGGGAGAGCGAACATCTCCACACAGAAGGGCGCCCGTGTCGGGAATCGAACCCTGGCCTCCCCTTCTGCCTGTGAGGTGCGAGCGTGACCACTGCGCCACCACTCCACCACCCTGCTGCCCCCCCTTACAGATTACACCGATATAACTGCACGCTCGGCATCAATTACACGATAGGTCACCCTTTGCATGCAAAGGACTCAAGTTAAAAAAATTGCCATTTCCCCCATCTGCAGATCGGAGCAAGTTTATATCTCGCTCCCATTCATGTTATGTACGGATGTATGTTGAACTTCTTTCGCACCGTACGAAGCCAACCGTGATAATCGGAGGTGCGGGGAAAGGACAACAAACTAATAACCATGTTTTTAAACCATACAAATATTGTATAACGAGAGGTAATGCACCTCGTGCAGAGTGAGGCACTGTAATAAAAATAAACTTACATGAAGAGGCTAAACAGGGCGCAGCGAGCGACAGAGAGAGAGAGAGCAATCGAGCACGCCACTCCCTGTCGGTATGAATGAATGGAATGCGTTCACACTAATTAGTATTACTTTGATTATGCTTGTTAACCCAGGAAAGCTTCACGGAGTCTCACGGGTCCTAGACAAGAGAAAGTTCCGGTTCTCTGTTCCCGTGGCACGAAACGAGCGTCGCGGGAGGCGACATCGCGTGCTCGCTTTCACCGGCCTCTCGCTGCGAAGCTTTCCTCTTTCTTTGACGTTAATCTTCAGGCGAAAACAAAAAAAATCCTCCGCACGAGAACTCGTTCGTGACTTCAATAAAACCACGACAAGTCGGCAAGTCCAACAGCGTATTTACATTGTAAAAGTTCGAGCTAAAAACCTCGTCTTGCAAGCGTGCGATAGACTTCAAGGTTGCCATCACGTTATTGCACAAGATGCACCGCTGGGGAAAGGGCCGGGGAAGTGCGGGGGAAGGAGGGGGCGGCGGTGGAGGCTTCACGCTCGACGGGCTCTCTCCCAGCACAGGCGAGCACGGCGATCGGCCACAGCGGCCGAAGTCGGTCATTCCCCAGCCATCGCGCCGTTCACACGTCGGTCGTGAATTCGTGGTGCGAGCTGCCGTCGCCGAGCAGCGAGTGCCGGTCGAGCAGCTGCACGGAGAGGGCGGCGGTGCCGCCGGCCATGCGCTTGTCCGCGGTGAGCGACGCGATAGACGTCTGGCTGATGAACTTGACGCGGTCCCAGACGCCTAGCTTGGGGGAGGTGCGCCCGTCCACCCAGGCGGGGCGGTCTCCCATGCCCACGGCGACGCTCACCTCCGAGAGGCTGCACTCGCGCACGCGGCCCCGGGTCTGCGCCTCCAGGCGCAGGCGGCTCGGCTTCTTGTACCTGACAAAAGACAAAGGTCCTCCGGCTGAACAGACTGCTGGGGCAAGCGCTGCGCAGCGAGCAGCTGTGACGGCCGGCACTGTGGCACACGAGGGGGCGGGTGGCCGGCACCGCGCCTGGCGACCTTTGACTCCCTAGGCCGAGTCAAGTTTTTTCAAGTTTTAAGTTTCATTTATTAGGTGTAGCAAGTCAAACAATAACAACCATAAGACGTAATCATAGGGTTTTTCCCCCTTCTTCTGGCAACAAAACTGAAACCTCCTTACAAGGATTCATGTCTGCATTAACCACAATACTTGCAGTCAAAATGCAAAAAAAAACACACTATGATAATATATGCATTGATTAATCCTTGTAAAAAGGCTCCAGCCTTGCCGCCAAAAAAATGGGAAAACCTCTATTATTATCAATGAAGGGGAGGGCCCAGGACCATGTTCAGATCCTCGTCACTGGTGTTGGCCATGAGCGGGAATTGAACACGGGTTACCGGGTTCATAGTGCAGCGCGCTAACCGCTGCACTACCGCTCCCCGCTGCACTACCGCACACGCGCACGTGCACGCATGCACGCAGATGCATGCGGGACCACAACAGTGAAACCACAGCACGACCAGTGCACACATTTCCTGCTTCGCCGAGACAGATTTGCTCGCGCCGCAACACGTAACGCGCGCGCGGCGATTGCGCGTCCAGACATTTCGGCTCATGATGTACGCAAACGATTCAAGGACATTCATTCTCCGAGAGCCACCGACAGCGCCCTGCTCGGCGTGCACCGGCGCTCTGGGCTCCGAACCCGGGGTCACCAGCGGGATTTTATCTGCACGGCACCCAGCGCTCTGGAATTCCCGGCCCTTGGGAGGTCGAGGACTCGGAGTCGATAGCTGAAGACCCCACCATCCGATTTAACAAAGCGTCTCTCTCCACCCACCCTGCCCGGCTTTCCCTCTCCCCCACTATCCCCCCCCCCCAACCTAGGTCTCCCATATTATGTTGGTTAGTTTAACACGTAGTCGTAGGCTTTCACGACCAATATTATCCACGCGCCTGGTGTTGCAGTATTTCCGAGTGTAACCAGGGCACCACGGTCGCCAGATGTAAACTACCTCGCGATCCCCGACCCTGACGCCTATATATTTCGGAGTGTGCGTGTCTCTCTCTCCATGTGTTCACGTGGAATTTCCTCCGAGTCCTCCGGTTTCCCCCCCCCCACATTAAGAATGAACATCGCGCGTTACGAGTATTTGGCTGCTGTAAATGTCCACGTGACGATAAGCCACCTCGTTGGGCTATCATTTGTGGCCAGGTCGCGTCTGAAAACGAGCTGTATGGCTCAGTGGGGCCTTACCAGGTTAAAAAAAAAAACTGAATTCACAGCTGTTTGCCAATGCCGCCGTCAACCGTACCCCAGCCAAACGCACGTAGGCCACGGCACTACAGACGGCGGGGCGTTAGCTCACCTCTTGAGCAGCAGCGACGAGAGCACAACAGACACGGACGAGGCAGCCATCGCTGCGGCCGCCATCCAGGGTTGCAGCACTAGCCCCGCCGGCATGAACACCCCTGCACACGGCGGCACAAGACACAGAAGGCGCGGGGCAAGTGAGCACGGAATGGTATACAGACACGCGAAGCTTCGCGGTGTTTTGCGCGTCCTTAGCATTCAACTTTCGGCACGTGTCTTGACGGGTATAACCGCAAGATCCGCCCGGATCCGTTCGATGCTCTCCGAGCTGCGGTGGCTTCCGTTTGCCGAACGAATCCGTTATTAGGTCGCGCTCAATGACCCGCAATACCTCGCTCATCTCGTCAAGGGGCATAAAGCATCACACGAACTCCGGTCATCCACGCAGCAAGTGGCTTTTGGCTCAGCCATCGAACAAAGACGGTCACCACATCACACACTTTCAGATTCGCTTCCGAGGCCGTCTGCAATGCTCATGCTTCTCTAGAACAGCTTTTTGTGTTTCGTTTGTTGCCAAAGTAGTGGTGCTGCCTCAATAGGCCTGACATTGTACTTCCTCCTCACTTCTGATTATCACGGTTGGCTACGTATGGTCCTGAAGAAGTTCAACATACATACTACCCATAGACTCAACACTGCACCATAAGCCCAACACTGCCCAAAGACGAACACTGCCCACAGACTCAACACTACCCACAGACTCAACACTACCCATAGACTCAACACTGCCCATAGACTAACACTGCCCATAGACTCAACACTACCCATAGACTCAACACTGCCCATAGACTAACACTGCCCACAGACTCAACACTACCCACAGACTCAACACTACCCACAGACTCAACACTACACACAGACTAACACTACCCATAGACTAACACTACCCATAGACTCAACACTACCCATAGACTCAACACTACCCATAGACTCAGCACTACCCATAGACTAACACTACCCATAGACTCAACACTGCCCATAGACTAACACTGCCCATAGACTCAACACTACCCATAGACTCAACACTGCTCATAGACTAACACTGCCCACAGACTCAACACTACCCTAAGACTCAACACTACCCATAGACTAACACTACCCTAGACTAACACTAGCCATAGAATAACACTACCCATAGACTAACACTACCCATAGACTAACACTACCCATAGACTAACACTACCCATAGACTAACACTACCAATCAACTCAACACTACCAATCAACTCAACACTGCACCTCCGATTATAATGGTTGCCTACGCACGGTCCGAAATAAGTTCAATATCCATACACACTTACATACAAGCACACTCCCCCGACTGTCGAGGACGCTTCACTGCAACCACCACTGGCCCCTTCTCAAATGCCCATGTCAGTATCCTCCCCGGAGATTCCGTACGGACAAAAGAAATCAACGCCTTCCACTCATTGGTCTCATCCCACACCACCAACCTGGCCACTGGTAAACCGATCTAATCCTTAGTCGACAGCGACAGACAGATGAGCGCCTTGTCCAATAAAGACTAGAAATTCTAGATTTGAAGCTTTCGTGACTGCAAGGATTCATATTCTTAGGTTTTTTCGGTAATGTCACGTAGGAAAAAAATTAAAATTAATAAAAGTAAAATAAAATACTTTTATTAATTTTAATTTTTTACCTACGTGACTTTACCGAAAAAACCTAAGAAAATAAAGAATAGAAACTTTGAGCGTGTCCACAAATTGGTGATACTTCTTGAGTAATTTGGCCGTTAATAATAATACTTTCATTTAATATTCAGCGTCATTCACCCTAATAGCATCTCATAATGCTGCACATGAATTATACATAAGGACCAAATCCTATATACAGCCACTACACCAATAGAATAAAAATCCTACGACGACTACTCCCAAGAAAAACCATAAATTAATATACAAATTTAGAAATGGCACCAAAACAAAAAAGCACAAATATCACACGAGGTCCACACATCCCAGACCACAATCCCAACTTTCCAACCAGGAGGGCCACAAAATTACGACTAATTCATACCAATGGATCAAATGTCCAAAAATTTACAATTCTTCCTCCAGCTGACCGTGGATGAGAAGTCCACTTTTATGGTCGTAAAAAGATTGGGTCCGACTCACATCAATGGATGTTTACAAGATCTGCTCGGCTATAAATCCCAATTCTTCGGGTAGCTTCCTTCTGATACACACGCCATGTTTGTTTGTTGTAGTACGGAGTTAGAATGATGGCTTTAATCTAAGTTGTCTTGTGGTTGTTGTTTGACTTGCATCCCACTGGGATTTTTGAACACAGCGTTGGTGTACGGTGCTTTTTCTGCAATATTTGCTGTATTTTCTTGGATTTTCTGTTTGCACATTGTCACATAGTCACTTTAAGATGTTTTCTTGTTCATGTTTTAGTTTTTTTTTTGTTGCAGTTGCACCCGATTCAAGAGCCCAATTGGTCACAGGGCTATACCAAATAAATGAAACTGAAAACTGAAACTGAAAACTCCTGTGAAAACTCATCACATCCCTGTTTAACATTTCCCCTCGTCACCCAAGACTCGGACTCATTCTCTACTACGTTTGGGAAAGAGAGCTTGCCTTCCCCTCCCGTCGATAGCATAAATCCTTGGCCGCCACTACGAAGGAAAGGGTTTGACCCGGAACACTACTCTCGAACAGAAGACTTCTTTGGGGCGCCGACAGGCTGAAAGGGAAGGACGGCAAGCTTCCACCGGGAGCACCAGTTCCACATATGGCAGCAAACCAGCAGCTCTGCACAGTTCAACGCACAATCACATATATAGAGACGCAAGGGAAGCCTCCGTCCTGCCTTGTTTGTATATTGAATTACTTTCGCACCGTACGTAGCCAGCCATGCTCAATGGCCTTCCGCTGCATCGAGAATCGGCCCGGCCTAACAGCCCTTGCTGGATGGGCGGGAGAGAGGGGGGCGCGGAGGGAGCGCTTGGGCACGTTTGTCCCGGAGACAGCTCCTAGGGTGTTCGTACCGCACTGCGCACGTGGGGTGGGGGGGTGGGGGGGTAGGTGAGCTGTGCGCCGAGGGGAACCTGCAGCAATGGGGATCCCGACGACGTTGTAGATGAGGGCGAACACGAAGTTGATGTGGATGCGTCGCACCGTCTTCTTGGAGAGGTGAATGCTGGCCACGACGTCCAGCAGGTCGTTCTGCGCACAACAGACGCGGACGGGGCTCAACACCTACAAAGACAAAGAGCTCCCGTATAGCCTCTAATACACCGCAGGGACGAGTGCTGTTAGTGAACGTCTATGAAGGTGGACATGGCACAAAAGCGGGCGGGTGGCTTGCACCACGCCCAGGCCCCCTTTGCCTCCCTCTGCTGCAGCTACTGGTGGCAGAAACGGGCCCGATGAACAGGTCTCGGTCTCCACGTTCCATTGGGTAGAAAACACAACGGGAATTAAACTCGCATTGCTGCAAAATGCGCAATGAGATTCCCTACACAATGACGATTCGATTCCGACCCTGACGATGCCTGCTGTATATTTGGAGTTTGCGTGTCTCTCTCAAACAGTGGTGAGATGTTAACTACCTCGCCTGGTATACAGGAGGTCGTGGATTCGATCCCGACCCTGACGCTCGTATACGTGCAGTTTGCGTGTTTTTCTCTCCCCGTGGTCACGTGGGGATTTTTCTCCGGATTCTCCAGTTTTTCCCTCCACATTTAGAATCAACGTCACGCGTTCAAGACTATTTGGCCACTGCACATTTCCACGTGACGATAAGCCGCTTGCCGTTGTTGGGCTATCATTTGCGATGGCCAGGTCGCTTCTGAAAGAAAGAGCTATATAGCTCAGCTGGCCTTACCCGGTAAAATAAACTGAATGGTTTAGTTTCATCTTCTTGGTTCTTTCGGTAAAGTCACGTAGAAGAAAAGTAATAAAATAATAAAAATAAAACATAATAAAATAATTCTCACGACGTTTCGGCCACAACGCAAGCAGCCGTCCTCAGGTGAAGACCAGACGCTGTCTCCCCGACACACCTGAGGACGGCTGCTTGCGTTGTGGCCCAAACGTTGTGAGAATTATTTTATTATGTTTTATTTTTATTATTTTATTACTTCCCTTCTACGTGACTTTACCGAAAGAAGCAAGAAGATGAAACCCTGCAGTCACGAAAGCTTTAAATAGAAATGGTTTAGTTTGTCGTTGTGACTCACGCGGATGAGCACGATGTCCGCCGCCTCGATGGCAACGTCGGTGCCGGTGCCGAGCGCGATGCCCACATCGGCGCGGGCAAGCGCCGGCGAGTCGTTGACACCGTCGCCCACCATCGCCACCGTCTGTCCGCTCTCCTGCAGCTGCTCCACCTTGGCCACCTTGTGCGAGGGCAGCACCTCCGCAAACACGCGCCTGATGCCCACCTACAAAAACAAAGATCCCACCCCCCAAACGTATTGCCTTTAGCAGACCCCTGGGGCAAGTGCTGTTAGCACGCACCTATGAAGGCTGGCATGACACACGAGGGGGTGGGTGGCCAGCACCACGCCGGGCCGCCTTTGTCTCCCTTAGTACCGATGTTAACACACCGCACCAGGTACTCGACTTAGGGGAGGCCCAGGACTGGTTCAGATATTCACCACTATTATTGGTCAGGAGAGGGATTCGAACTCAGGTCGTTGGGTCCGTAGCGCAGCGAGCCAAACACTGTGCCACTGCTCCCCACAGTACTGCCTACCTACACACACACAGCACGTCCACACACGCGCGCCTGATGCCCACCTGCACACACACACAGCACAGCTGCTTGTTTACCATTCACAGCCTACACCAAAACACGTGGCTAGTGAATTGTATTCAAACGCTTGTGAAAGGGATCCACCATCCAGTTTAAATCAGCTACAATCTTTCTGCGAGACTACCTACGTATTACGATTGTCACCGAGTTGAAGTGCCAGGCGATTTGGCCAAAAGCTAGCAGCCTATGGGAACACCAGCCGCAATGATGATAATTACTACTGGGATTGGTGAATTTACATCGCACTGCAAAAAAAAAAAACGCTTTATTTTCCATCATCAAAAGTCACTTGCGTGCCATCACCTGCCACCCTTTGATTCATCAGCCCAGCTCCCTGCCTTGCTTATGACAAATTCACCGGGAATGTGGCCAATCTCATCTTATCTCGGAAGAGGAGCTGAGCCTGGACGGTGCTTAGATGGGACGAACACCACGCACGACACGTGTTATCGGTGGAGAGAGAGAAAATAATTCTGCTCGTATTTGCATTCGAGTAATTTTATGGAGGGCAGTGAGCACTGAAGCAAAATTCTCAAAGATGGGATTGCACGACAGTTCCCGGGTAGAGGCAGTCGAGAGGGAATCCCTGTCGCTAACACTTTCGTTGATGGTCATTTCTCGGTTATTGTTTTGATGACATTAGCGCAGGATAAATGTGTATGTCAGTGTTCTTCACTCACATTCAGAGGGGGGGGGGGTTTGAGCACTTTTGGCAATAATACATTAGTGTGAGGGCCGCCACACATTTAAAACCATTGGGTTTGACAGCAGCACGATGATGATGGGTGGGGCGTTTTCACATTTATGCATTGTCGAGGAGGCCGCACGCCAGGGGCTGCACTAAAGGCCGCCAGGGGCCGCCAGTGGTCCAGGGGCCTTGCACTGGTTTACTTGAACAATGGAAAATGTTGTAAAAATATCCCACGTTGTAATTCATTCGTATGCAACTTTGCAGCTTTCCACTCAGGGGCTCTCGTCGGATGTGCGCGGGGGCAGGCGTGTGCTGATGATGGGCGCTACTGTGGAGAGATGTTAACTTCCTCGCCTGGTATGCAGGAGGTCGTGGGTTCGATCCCGACCCGGACGCCTGCTGTATATTTGGAGTTGGCGTCTCTCTCTCATCATCATCACGGTGGCTAGGAGATGTTAACTACCTCGCCTGGTATGCAGGAGGTCGTGGGTTTGATCCCGACCCTGACACCTGCTGTATATTTGGAGTTTGCATGTCTCTCTCCCTGCGGTCGCGTGGATTTGTATCTGGGTCCTACGGTTTTTCCCTACACATTTAGGATCAATGTCATACGTTTTGGAGTATTTGGGTGCTCTTCATGCCTACATGATGATAAGCCACTTCGTTGAGCTATCATTCGTGATAGCCAAATCGCTTCTGAAAAAACAGCTATACAGCGTAGTGGGTCTCACCTGTTTACATAAAAATTGTTTAGTTTAGAACCGGTGTGGGTGGGTCGGAGGGTCGGGAGGGGTTTTGGCGACCTGGGCCGCGATCGCTTGTGCCGTCTTCCTGTTGTCGCCCGTCATGAGCACCACCTGGAGGCCCATGTCGGCGAGCGTGCGAACGGCGAGCGCGGCCTCCGGCTTCACGGTGTCCGCGATGGCCAGCATGCCGCACAGCTTGCCTGAGCACGCAGAGCACAGAGCCACGGCCACCGACGAAATGTCAGGGCCCCCGTTTCTGAACAAACAACTAAAATGCAGGGTTGCTTCAAAAAAAGGTTAACGCTCGATTTAAAGCTTTCGTGACTGCAGGGATTCATCTTCTTGGTTCTTTCGGTAAGGTCACGTAGAATGGAAAGTAATAAAATAATAAAAATAAAACATAATAAAATAATTCTCACGACGTTTCGGCCACAACGCAAGCAGCCGTCACCTGAGGACGGTTGCTTGCGTTGTGGCCGAAACGTCGTGAGAATTATTTTATTATGTTTTATTTTTTTTATTTTATTACTTCCCTTCTACGTGACTTTACCGAAAGAACCAAGAAGATGAATGTTAACGCTTCGGAGAATTTGCAACGACGCCACGGGAAATGCGCTGCCTCCCGGGCTCTGGAGACCACCTGGAGAAGATTACAGGCAACCTGTTGACAATGACGGCGAACAAGTGGAGACTCTGACTTTTTGAAGCTAATAAACATACATTTGTCATCATGTTACAGTGTGTTATCCATTAGAAACTATAGTCCCATAGAAGTGTTAACGTTATTTTGAAGCACCCTGTACTCGCGACTGTAAAACACGCAACTAATCACGTCCGCAGTAACGTTTTTTTTATGGTTAGATAGCGGAAAAATAAACACGTTCTGTCGATAACACTGTGTGGCTTAAAGGGAAACATTCAGGGTGGGACAAAAGTCAGGGCACATCATAGAATTATTTCATTCATTTTATGCATCTTCTACTTCTTTTGCACCGTGCGTAGCTAACCGTGCTAATCGGATGTGGCATTAAACATTGTAATTGTTTATTCTATAAGTTAATATTTAATACTCTCTGGTTTTTTCGGTAAAGTCACGTAGAAGGGAAATAATAAAATAATAAAAATATAAAACAATACAATTCTCACGACGTTTTGACTGCAACACAAGCAATCATCGTCAGGTGTGAAATCCACAGCAAGAAAATTTTAAAAAAGTGGCGGGAAACGTCGTGAGAATTTTATTGTTTTATATTTTAGTTATTTTTATTTTATTTTATTATTTCCCTTCTACGTGACTTTACCGAAAGAACCAGATAGTATGGTTCAAGATTTGAAGCTTTCGTGACTGCAAGGATTCATATTCTTAGGTTTTTTCAGTAAAGTCACGTAGGTAAAAAATTAAAATTAATAAAAGTAAAATACAAATAAAATAAAAATCACGACGTTTCGGAGGCAACACAAGCTTCCGTCTTCAGGTGGAACAGTCACAGCACGATAGCTGTATCAAGTGAGAGAAATTCCAAGAAACAGTATTTGTATATATACTGGTTGAGGGTGGGAGGAGCCAAGGTAGGCCCCGAATATTATTTTTGTGAGGTTCGGTGCGGCTGAAGCACGCTGTTAGGAATGAGTTTACACAACAAAGGCACATTCCTAACAGCGTGCTTCAGCCGCCCTGGATGAATAGGCGTCATTTCGGGCAATGAACCTTGTTTGTAGCACAGGGCCACTGACTGAAACGTCACCCACTCGTTGTGCGTGACAATTAATTTTCGTGAAAATTTATTTCAAAAATGTTACACTTTTCAGGAAAAAATAAATTATATTTAATTACCAATTGCTTAATGGTGCAATGCAATCATCTGACCCATAGGTGGCAGCCATCTCAAGCCAGAGGACGAGAGGACTCTAGCCGCCCGTTTCAAAGACCAATGTGGGCTGGGTTGTGGCCCATTGAACACGTACTGTAATTTATTTGCCACGCATATAAAGGATTTATAGTGAAAAACTTTGTTTTTACGGGTTAATTTTATCATCTGTGCTTGTGCACCACTGCCAATGCAGCAGCAGCATCGCCAAATAATTTATTGGAAATCGAGGATAAAGACGTCATCAATGGCCAATGCCAAAGAAAATAAATTAAATAATCGAATACGACGTTTCGATCGCAACACAAGCAGTCGTCATCAGGCAGAACTACATTTGCGAGAGAGACAAAACATAGACACATGTATTTTCTTTCTACGTGACTTTACCGAAAGAACCAAAGAGTATGCATTCCTGCAGTCACGAAAGCTTCAAATCAACTCTCTACGCTCCGCCAGATCCAACGTGGCAAGCTTCAAGATCTGTCCTGACAAGTCTCCCACCATCTGGCCTTAGGTCCCTTCTCTCCCCTTAGTCGTCTGGACTCGTATTGTATAATAACATTTGTCAAGGGGTCTGCACAACCATCTAACGAGACTTTAAATCGCGGCTCTTGATTGGAGTATACAGAAAGGCAGCACAGACGTCGGCGTGGCAACGGAAGAGGTCGTTTGAACGCGGTCGCCAAAGGGGGCGCTGGATTCGGATTGAGGGATCCCCCCCTTCACGAGCACATGTAACTATTTCGATTTAAAGCTTTCGTGACTGCAGGGATTCATCTTCTTGGTTCTTTCGGTAAAGTTACGTAGAACGGAAATAATAAAATCATAAAAATAAAACATAAGAAAATAATTCTCACGACGTTTCGGCCACAATGCAAGCAGCCGTCCTCAGGTGGAGAGCAGGTCTGTCATTTCAGACTCTGTCTACTCGACAGACCTGTTCTCCACCTGAGGACGGCTGCTTGCATTGTGGCCGAAACGTTGTGAGAATTATTTTCTTATGTTTTATTTTTATTATTTTATTAATTCCATTCTACGTGACTTTACCGAAAGAACCAAGAAGACACATGTAACTAATTATAATCCGACAATCGCCCAAGCTCTGCAGCCCTTCATACATATGTCAATATGTTTTCAGCCAATTAGCGAGTATATTGATGTGTGGGAGTAAACCGGAGCACTTCGAGAAAACACAGGTGCAAGTGAGGGGGCAACCCTCTAGAAACTTGCTGGAACCACCGTCTCCTGGCGTGCCAGCGCATGGACACCTCGACGCCCGTGGGAAGGGAGTTTCGCAACATTTTGTGCAATCCACCATCCCTCGCTGCTGCTGCCTCAGTAGTGCCGGACTTTAGGCAGCCACTACCCGGTGCACATGTGTCCGTAAAGACGATGCAGTGTAAATCTCCCCCTGCACGTTAACGTATGCAAGCAATAAATGTGTATAATCTGCACATTTTTTGCATCTTCCATGTGTTTGTTTTATCCAGGCCACCCTCCCACCCATTGCCCCAGACAATTGGATAATTGAGAGGAGTTCATGGTATTTGTGTAAATCAATAGCCAGAGTGGGCAGGGACAGAACTGGGAAGAAATTAGACCTCGACAGTACCAACTGAGTCCTGAGTGCAGGGGAGTGGGGTGTGGCAGACATGAACACCCATTGAAAATCATGTAAAGTAATAGATCAATATTATGTATATATTTGTTACGCATATTCGCGGACCGTTACACAATCGTAACGTTTGGGAGATCCAGAGCGTGACAGACAGACACTTGGGCATTACATAGATGGACTACCCGCCGCTACACTCGTCCGTGGTTCCTTCCGGAATGAAGGCAGTCCGGGTTCAAATTTCCCCTACCACCACCACCACCACCGAGTTCCATGGTGGTAGGAGTGGTGAGATGTTAACTACCTCGCCTGGTATACAGGAGATCTTGGGTTCGATCCCAGAGTTTGCAGGTTCTCCCTGTGGTCGTGTGTTTTTTTTTTCCCTCCGGGTCCTCTGTTATTCCCTCCCCATTTAGAATCAACATCACGCTTTAAGAGTATTTGGTTGCTAGATTTGAAGTTTTCGTGACTGCAAGGATTCATATTCTTGGGTTTTTTCGGTAAAGTCACGTAGGTAAAAATTTTAAACTAAAATTAATAAAAGTAAAATAAAAATCACGACGTTTCGGAGGCAACACAAGCTTCCGTCTTCAGGTGGAACCGTCACAGCACGATAGCTGTATCAAGTATTATTAATTTTAGTTTTAATTTTTTACCTACTTGACTTTACAGAAAAAACCCAAGAATATTTGGCTGCTGTATATTTCCACACGATGACAAGCCACTTCGCTGAGCTACCATTTGTTATGGCCAGGCCGCTTCTGAAAGAGAGCTACGTAACTAAGTCAGCCTTACCTGGTAAAATAAAGAAATGGTTTAGTTTAGTTCTGGCTCCACCAATGGGCATGGGTAGATGCGGCAGAGAGAACGGAGGCTCGTGATGGAGCTGCTAACAGCGAGGTGCTGGGTAGACTCCAGCTCGTTCGGAATGAAGCTGCTGGAGTCATTACGCGCGCACCGTTTCACGAGCACATCATCATCACACCCGCGCATTCGTCTCTGCACCGACGACTCTTCAATTATCGGGTGGATTACAAGATCCTGCTTGCTTGCCTACGAGCCTCCACATGGGTTAGCCCCACAATATTTGCAGGAACTTATTTATCTTTACACTCTCCAACGAGGATCAACTCCTTAAACTGCCCGTTACACTCACCCCACCCCCCTACTGGTTCTGGCTGTGTACCCTGCAGGTTTCTCTTTATTTTCCTGGCTTTCCTTACACGGTGGTGGCGCAATGGATGGCCCTACGGATAAAATGGGCCACTTTACAATTACAACACTTGATACAGTAAATTTAGCTGTGACGGTCCCATCCGAAGACGGAGACTTGTGTTGCCTCCGAAACGTCGTGATTTAATTGATTCATTATTTGATTCCTATTTTTTTTCACTTTACAATTGCCAATAATCATTATCACGAAGACTTTGATTACCGTTGATGGCGACCAAGACGGCGGTCTGGCCCTTCTCCTCGTGCTCAGCCATGGCCTTGTCGACGGGCTCCGCCACCAGCAGCGCATTCCGGTTCATCCACTCGCGGTTTCCAATCAAAACCGCGTATTCTTGCCCCGAGGTTGCTGCTGGTCCAGCCCCCACATCTGTTCCCGTGGACATGAAACAAGGAAAGTTTGGTGACGCGGCCGCGAGGTGGCTTTCCTCCCCCGCACCTCCGATTAGCACGGTTGGCTGCGTACGGCGCGCGATAGAGGTTCACCATACACACGTGTCACACACGTGTCACACACGCACAGGTGCAACCTTCATCTCACCTTCGTCAGATCACAGCAGGGGAAGGCTACTCGCTGAGTGCGGGTGGTAACAATCGTGCCTCACAGCAAGATGGACCCGGGGTTCGATTCCCGACTCGGGTGCCGCTATGCGTGGCGTTTGTATGTTCTCCCCCTGTTCTGCATGGATTTCCCTTTCCTCCCAAAACTCAAAACGTAAAATGTCATTGATGTTGGCCAAACACACCCCAATGTAGGACTCCCCTGAAAGAGCCTTTGGACTTTCCTGCTGACATCCAACAGCGACTGCGTCAATTATTGAATGCTCCCCGTGAAATAACCCACACACTGCCTCCGGCAATATAAAAAGGGACCGCCAACACTCGTGAGAAATAAGCAAGGTAACACGATGGCCATGTACTTATTATAAAACCATCAGCATTGTAATTACAGAGCACACACACGGTACTCTCGAATGTTTAATCAGCCAGTATGAAGCAAGTCTCAAACGCTGACTACTTTTTGTGTTTAGTATATTATATGTATACATATGGTGATCTTCATAATAAAGGTTTTTGGGTTAGATCGTGTTATTTATAAATGTGTCGCAACCCTCCACCACCCGACACGGCAAATCAGCAAAAAAGTGTCACGTTTGCAAAAGACAAAATAGTTCACTACAATAGCCCACCGGTGTGTTGAAGAGTGAATCCACAACATTTACAAAAAAAAATTTTCTTAAACACACCGGTGTTAAAATGTTGATCTTCCTTCGCACCGTACGTAGGCAACCGCGGGGGAAGGACAACAGAGTAAACACAAAAAACAGTCATCAAGAAATGAGCTTTCAATCCAAATTATTTAAAAGTGAAAAGCTACAGTGGCTTCCTGATATCGAAAGAGCATTCCAGACAGCCACAGAGGCGCATCTGAAAGCGCACGATACGGTGACCATCTTTGTTCGATGGCAGAGCCAAAAAAGCCGCTGCTGTTGCGAGGGTGCCCGGCGTTCGCCGATGACGGTTTAAGCTCCTTGACGAAATCGGCAAACCACCGTGCTTCATCTGTGGAAAGCGCTTTGTGCGTGCGTAACGAACGCAACCTTGTAACACACACACACACACATGCGCACCGGTGCTGGAGATGGTCTGGGAGCCCGCGGGTTTCCCGTCGGCGATGTCTACCAGCAGCGCCGCTGCCACGGAGTTGGCGGCGGCGAGGCCCTGTTTCGACGACGCCAGTACGGCCTCCACGTCGGACACGCGGCAGCTGATCCCGCACCCAGGGATGGCCTGGAAGTCGGCGCACGATCCCAGGCTTTCGGTGCCGAGGTTCTGGACACAGTCGCGGACACGGCCAGAGAGGAAAGAGTTTCGACGTGTGAATCGAGTAAGGGCACGTCACGCTGAGCGGCTCCTGCACCCGACACAGCTTGCCCCCCCAGCTGCTGCCTTCAGGAGTGGGGCTGATGTTCTGCACGAGAGGGGTCCTCCCTCACCTGGGCGAGACGTTAACTACAATGCCTGGTATGCAGGAGATCGTGGGTTCGACCCAGACCCTAATGCCTGCTGTGTATTTCAAGTTTGCATGTTCTCCTTGTGGTCGCGTGGATTTTTGTTCGGGTCCTCCAGTTTTTCCCTTCACATTTAGAATGGACACTTGTTTATAGAGTATTTGACTGCTCTACATTTCCACGTGATAAGCCACTTCTCATTGTGCTATCATTGGTGATGGCAAGGTTGCTTCTGAAAGAGCTGTGTAACTCAATGGGACTTACCTGGTAAAATAAAAAAGAGCTTAGTTTTAAATTTCGATTTAAAGCTTTCGTGACTGCAGGGATTCATATTCTTGGTTCTTTCGGTAAAGTCACGTAGAAGGGAAATAATAAAATAATAAAAATATAAAACAATAAAATTATCACGACGTTTCGACTGCAACACAAGCAATCATCATCAGGTGTGAAATTATGATGATTGCTTGTGTTGCAGTCGAAACGTCGTGAGAATTTATTGTTTTATATTTTTATTATTTTATTATTTCCCTTCTACGTGACTTTACCGAAAGAACCAAGAATAGCTTAGTTTTAGTTTAACCTTTGATGGTGGTAATAATGCCTATTGACACAGTAGGCTTTCGCGACCAATATATCCATAATACAGGTTTTTTGGGTTACATCGTGTAAATATATGTTTTGTAAAACCCGCCACCACCCGACACAGCCAATTTAGTAAGGGTTGTTACGTAAACAGAACATGCAAATTCGATAATCTGATAAGTGAAAGTAAACATGTTAAAGAAGCGCTGCAATTTAATGGTTACAATGATGTACAGATCCACAGGGCACTGAACACCAAAACCAAATCAAATAACACGAGCGTTGAAACTGACCAAGTAGTTAAAACTATTAAAATACCGTACATTGCGGGAGTAACTGATAAACTAGCCAGATGTTTGGAAAAACAAAACATAATAATAAAACAAGCGGTCGACCGCGTTTATTGCGATCGAAACATAATGAGTTTTAGTTTTTTGACGTATATATTTTTGATAATTTGTATTTTATTTTCTATCTCCGCGACTATACCGAAACATCTTCTTGGTTCTTTCGGTAAAGTCACGTAGAAGGGAAGTAATAAAATAATAAAAATAAAACACAATAAAATAATTCTCACGACGTTTCGGCCACAACGCAAGCAGCCGTCCCCTCAGGTGAAAACCAGGTCTGTCGATGCGACAGACCCGGCTGCTTGCGTTGTGGCCGAAACGTCGTGAGAATTATTTTATTGTGTTTTATTTTTATTATTTTATTACTTCCCTTCTACGTGACTTTACCGAAAGAAGCAAGAAAATGAATCCCTGCAGTCACGAAAGCTTTAAATCGAAATATACCGAAACAACCAAAGAAAATGAATTCCTGCAGTCACGAAAGTTTTTAGTCGCTATAATTACCTGCCGACAGTACTTGGCGACGGCAGAGCCCAGCGGGTGCTCGCTGCTCGCCTCCGCTGTGCCCACCACCGCGAGGAACGTGTGGAGGGGCAGCTTCATGTGCTCCTCCAGGATGGACACGCGCATCACCTTGGGGATGCCGTGCGTGATCGTGCCCGTCTTGTCAAATACCACCGTGCGCACCTGACGGGCGTGAACGGGCAAGTCGATCGCCGATTATTCCGGCATGCGGCGATTGTCCCGGCTTCCAACACTATCCGGCGGTCCCGTGCCGATCCGGTGAACCACCTCCCTCGCAAGCCGATGGGGTTGGATTCAGACTCTGAATAACCAGCCCCGATTCTATATCCCCGCGATCATCACCCCATGCAAGCGTCTTCGAGATTGGAGTGGTAAGTACGATGCGATCGATACAGTAACTAGTCACAGTAGGATATTTATTTATTTCGATTTGCATATTTACTTATGCCGGTCTCGCGTAACAAAACGCATTTAAAACACTAAACAGACATATACACAACACCTAAAAATCCATTATGCAAGAATGTGCAAAAATAAACCTATTTTAAATAATGATTAGTGATTATCCAGCATTTATGAAAATCCAGCACCGCCTCCCCCCCCCCCCTCAAGCCACCGGATAATCGATGATCTACTGTATGTACGTACACGTATGTTGAATTCTCTCGTACCGTACGTAGCCAACCGCGCGAATTGGCGGTGCGTGAACACGCGCTGGCACTCACTCAGGGTGTCCACCTGAACGACCGACACCAACGACGCTATAACGTTCAATCCACACCGACGCTTATCCACACATCTGGTCAATGGGACTGTCGAATTGACCGTCTCTCTCTCTCGTTATAATAATAATAATAGGATACTTATCACTACCCCCCCTCCCCCCCCCCGGCAAATGTTTTGTCCGCCAGACAGTGCTTCACGTTTTCTTTGGGTCTTTCGGTAAAGTCGTGTAGATAGGTTCAAAGAAAACAAAAACATTACAAAAATGAATAAAAAAACGACTTTTCGATCGCAATACAAGTTTCGATTTAAAGCTTTCGTGACTGCAGGGATTCATCTTCTTGGTTCTTTCGGTCAAGTCACATAGAATGGAAATAACAAAATAATAAAAATAAATATATTATGTTTTATTTTTATTTTTATTATTTTGTTATTTCCATTCTACGTGACTTTACCGAAAGAACCAAGAAGACGCAACACAAGTGTTCATCATTCTTCCTGATGACGAACGCTTGTTTAGCGATCGAAACGTCGTAGTTTTTAAAATTATATTTCATTATTTTTTTTTAACCTATCTACGTGACTTTACCGAAAGACCCAAAGAACATGAATTCCTGCAGTCACGAAAACTTTAAGTCAAGTGCTTTACGTGTTACGCTTCTACAGAGTGGTAGTGATATTTGGCTGCTATAAATGTCCACATGATGATGAGCCACTTCGTTCAACTATCATTTGTGGGCAGGTCACCTTCTGAAAAAGAGCTACAAAGCTCAGTGGGCCTTGCCTGGTAACATAAAAATAGTTTAACGGTTTTTATTTAAGTGCATGTGGGGATGGGGGCAAGGGCCCCGTGATTATACATTAATGCTAAAAGCCAGCAGCCAGGAAGAATATTGTCAATTATTTATCCCCGACAGTCCCTGCCGAGTCTCGGCGCATCATCTGCTGGGAGGTTTCGTCAATTCCTTCTGAAGCAGAGCTTGCAATGTGGAAGGAAACACGAGCGCTTGGAGTACATTGACGATGTATAATAATACAGTGGGGGATACCACAATTGCTGACTTGGCCACTTTTGTACGGAGCTTTGAATGTTCTCCCCCTCAGTTTAACACGTAGGCTTTCGCGACCAATGTTATTCATAATCAACGATTTTTGGGTTTAGATCGCGTTTATTTATAAATGTGTCGTAACCCTCCACCACCCGACACGGCCAATCAGTAAAAATGTGTCACGTTGACAAAGACAAATAGTTCACTGCTTTAGCCCACCGGTGTGTTGAAGCAACAACATTTACAATTTGAGTACGACGTTTCGCTGGTAATTGCAACCAGCATCATCGGGCAATTCGCCAGAATGGTGAGGCTCTCCTGTGTCTCCCGTTCTTATATAGAGCAGCAGCAGGGTGACGTCATCATTAACTCATTAACTCATCAGGTGCAAAGATTCAAGGGGGGGAGTGATTGTAATTATATACTAGATTAGTAATCAGGCTATTGTTACGATGCGAGTTGTAGATTAGTAATCATTTGGAATGTGTTTTATTGTGATTATGCTACATTAGTAATCAGTTAGTGGTTGTTTCCCTTATAAGTAATTGTAATGTATCTTATTTAATAATACGCTTCCAGGCCGCACTAAGCCTATAGCTGTCTGAGCGATTAAAGTTATTTCTGTTTCTCTCAATTTCAATCGATTCTCTAATTAGTCTTTGCCAGTAGTAACTAGTTTTACACAACACTTCCACGTTGTCAAAATCAATTGAGTGTCCCTGTTGGCATGCATGTTCTGCTACTGCCGACAGTTGTGTTTGTGATAGTTTAATATTTCTCTGGTGTTCTTTTAGTCTTACACTAACGTTACGCCCTGTCTGTCCAATATAGCATCTGCCACATACACAATTAATCCGATATACACCTTCTGTTGATAATTTAGGTAATTCGTCTTTAGTGCACGTTACTAGTTGTTGAATTTTGTGTACTGTACCAAATCTTACTGTAATGTTTTGCTTTTGCAAAACACGGGCTAATTTATCAGTCACTCCTGAGATAAATGGTATTTTTATTGTTTTAATAATCTGATCGCTTTCAGCAGTGTTGCTTTGCGATCGTGATTTGGCTTTTAGTGCTCTGTTAATTTGAGCATTATTGTAGCCATTCTGTCTTAGTGCTTCTTTAACATGTTTAATCTCTCTCACTAGACTTTCACCATCTGACACTGTTTTAGCCCGATGTATGAGCGTCTTGATAAGAGAGGATTTCTGAGCTGGGTGATGATGCGAATCTGCATTCAGATAGGCATCAGTGTGCGTTGGCTTTCTGTAAACGCTGTGTGTTATTTTACCGTTTGGGCCATGCCCAAGTAAAATATCCAGGAACGGGAGTGTGTTATTCACCTCCATTTCCATGGTGAACTGAATGGCCGGGTTTTGTGCATTGAGATGATTTAGAAAATCGTTAAGTGTATCTTTACCATGTGGCCAGACAACCAAAGTGTCATCCACATATCTAAACCAAAAGGATGGTTTTAATGTGCTCGAGGCAAGTGCTCTGGTTTCAAAGTTTTCCATGTACAAATTTGCTATAGCAGGAGATAAAGGAGAGCCCATTGCTGCTCCCTCCCTTTGTTTAAAGAATTCGCCTCTCCATAAGAAGTAAGTGTTATTTAAACAATGGTCTGCGAGTTTCGGAATATCTTTTGGTAAACCTGTATTCTTTACCAGTGTATCAAGTAATTTAAGCGACTCGCTCACTGGAACCTTAGTGAATAGCGAAATCACATCAAAACTCACCAAAATATCATTAGGGTTAAGTTTAATATCTTTGATCATATTCACAAGATGTTCTGAATTTCTTATGAATGATGATGTCCTACCGATGTAAGGCTGAATTTGTTTAGTTACATATTTTGCTAATTTATAGGTGGCAGAGCCAATTGTACTGACTATAGGTCGTAAAGGGATGCCGACTTTATGGATCTTTGGTAGCCCATACAGTCTAGGTGGTTTTGAAGCCCTTGGCTTCATTAGGAATTGCTCATTTTTTGGGATTAATGAATTTGCAATGATTGCAGTAGTCTTACGTTCCAAAGTATTAGTTGGATCTCGTTTAATTTTAATGTAGGTACTTTCCTCTAATAAATCTTTAATTTTATTATCATAATCGGCTCGTGACATCACTACTGTAGTGCGGCCCTTGTCAGCTGCTAGGATTTGAATATCTTTGTTTAGACGAAGCTCTCTTAAGGCTTTTGCCTCGTTCGAGCTGATATTTACTTTAGGTACTTTACTATTCTCAATAATTTTGGCAACCTCGTGTCTAGTCATCTCTGCCTCATTATGTGGAAGGAGTCTTACTGCTGATTCTACCTCAGCAATTATCTCATCCACTGGAATTGTGCGTGGGGTAACGGCAAAGTTAAGGCCTTTAGAAAGGACAGAAATCATGTCAGTGGTTAAATCAGTGTTAGTCAAGTTCATTACGGTTTTGTTTTCAAATTGTTCGTTTTTACCAATAGGGAATTTGTTTATTGTAAGTTACAATAAACAAATCCTTAATTTGGTTAAAAACGAACAATTTGAAAACAAAACCGTAATGAACTTGACTAACACTGATTTAACCACTGACATGATTTCTGTCCTTTCTAAAGGCCTTAACTTTGCCGTTACCCCACGCACAATTCCAGTGGATGAGATAATTGCTGAGGTAGAATCAGCAGTAAGACTCCTTCCACATAATGAGGCAGAGATGACTAGACACGAGGTTGCCAAAATTATTGAGAATAGTAAAGTACCTAAAGTAAATATCAGCTCGAACGAGGCAAAAGCCTTAAGAGAGCTTCGTCTAAACAAAGATATTCAAATCCTAGCAGCTGACAAGGGCCGCACTACAGTAGTGATGTCACGAACAGATTATGATAATAAAATTAAAGATTTATTAGAGGAAAGTACCTACATTAAAATTAAACGAGATCCAACTAATACTTTGGAACGTAAGACTACTGCAATCATTGCAAATTCATTAATCCCAAAAAATGAGCAATTCCTAATGAAGCCAAGGGCTTCAAAACCACCTAGACTGTATGGGCTACCAAAGATCCATAAAGTCGGCATCCCTTTACGACCTATAGTCAGTACAATTGGCTCTGCCACCTATAAATTAGCAAAATATGTAACTAAACAAATTCAGCCTTACATCGGTAGGACATCATCATTCATAAGAAATTCAGAACATCTTGTGAATATGATCAAAGATATTAAACTTAACCCTAATGATATTTTGGTGAGTTTTGATGTGATTTCGCTATTCACTAAGGTTCCAGTGAGCGAGTCGCTTAAATTACTTGATACACTGGTAAAGAATACAGGTTTACCAAAAGATATTCCGAAACTCGCAGACCATTGTTTAAATAACACTTACTTCTTATGGAGAGGCGAATTCTTTAAACAAAGGGAGGGAAGCAGCAATGGGCTCTCCTTTATCTCCTGCTATAGCAAATTTGTACATGGAAAACTTTGAAACCAGAGCACTTGCCTCGAGCACATTAAAACCATCCTTTTGGTTTAGATATGTGGATGACACTTTGGTTGTCTGGCCACATGGTAAAGATACACTTAACGATTTTCTAAATCATCTCAATGCACAAAACCCGGCCATTCAGTTCACCATGGAAATGGAGGTGAATAACACACTCCCGTTCCTGGATATTTTACTTGGGCATGGCCCAAACGGTAAAATAACACACAGCGTTTACAGAAAGCCAACGCACACTGATGCCTATCTGAATGCAGATTCGCATCATCACCCAGCTCAGAAATCCTCTCTTATCAAGACGCTCATACATCGGGCTAAAACAGTGTCAGATGGTGAAAGTCTAGTGAGAGAGATTAAACATGTTAAAGAAGCACTAAGACAGAATGGCTACAATAATGCTCAAATTAACAGAGCACTAAAAGCCAAATCACGATCGCAAAGCAACACTGCTGAAAGCGATCAGATTATTAAAACAATAAAAATACCATTTATCTCAGGAGTGACTGATAAATTAGCCCGTGTTTTGCAAAAGCAAAACATTACAGTAAGATTTGGTACAGTACACAAAATTCAACAACTAGTAACGTGCACTAAAGACGAATTACCTAAATTATCAACAGAAGGTGTATATCGGATTAATTGTGTATGTGGCAGATGCTATATTGGACAGACAGGGCGTAACGTTAGTGTAAGACTAAAAGAACACCAGAGAAATATTAAACTATCACAAACACAACTGTCGGCAGTAGCAGAACATGCATGCCAACAGGGACACTCAATTGATTTTGACAACGTGGAAGTGTTGTGTAAAACTAGTTACTACTGGCAAAGACTAATTAGAGAATCGATTGAAATTGAGAGAAACAGAAATAACTTTAATCGCTCAGACAGCTATAGGCTTAGTGCGGCCTGGAAGCGTATTATTAAATAAGATACATTACAATTACTTATAAGGGAAACAACCACTAACTGATTACTAATGTAGCATAATCACAATAAAACACATTCCAAATGATTACTAATCTACAACTCGCATCGTAACAATAGCCTGATTACTAATCTAGTATATAATTACAATCACTCCCCCCCCTTGAATCTTTGCACCTGATGAGTTAATGAGTTAATGATGACGTCACCCTGCTGCTGCTCTATATAAGAACGGGAGACACAGGAGAGCCTCACCATTCTGGCGAATTGCCCGATGATGCTGGTTGCAATTACCAGCGAAACGTCGTACTCAAATTGTAAATGTTGTTGCTTCAACACACCGGTGGGCTAAAGCAGTGAACTATTTGTCTTTGTCAACGTGACACATTTTTACTGATTGGCCGTGTCGGGTGGTGGAGGGTTACGACACATTTATAAATAAACGCGATCTAAACCCAACAATCGTTGATTATGTTCTCCCCCTGTTCTGAGTTTTTTCAAGGTTCTCCAGATTGCTCACACAGATAAAAAAAAAATCACACAACGTAACTAACATGTTCTTGGTTCTTTCGGTAAAGTCACGTAGAAGGGAAGTAATAAAATAATAAAACATAATAAAATAATTCTCAGGACGTTTCGGCCACAACGCAAGCAGCCGTCCTCAGGTGAAGACCAGGTCTGTCGGGGAGACAGCGTCTGACGCTTTTATTTTTATTATTTTATTACTTCCCTTCTACGTGACTTTACCGAAAAAACCAACAAGATGAATTCCTGCAGTCACGAAAGCTTTAAATCGAAATGTAACTAACATGGGCCAGATGCGCTCCAGCGGCCGTCTGGAACGCTCTTCCTTCCGATATTAGAAAAGTAGCACTAGAGCCATGTACTTTCAAATCTAGATTGAAAACGAATTTCTTTAGAACTACTTCTTGTGTTAAGTCTGTTATACGTATACATATGTTGAACTTCATTCGCACCATTCGTAGCCAACCGTGCTCATCGTAGGTATGGGGGAAGGACAACAAACTAAACACAAATGGTGAGGTAGTTAACATCTCGCCACCGTGGCACCCAATCTCCACCGAAGAGCCCAACGTGGGCCTGCAGAACCCGGAGGGTGACCGTGCCCACCTTGTGAGCCATCTCCAGGGGCTCGCCGCCTTTGATGAGGATGCCCAGCTGCGCTCCGACCCCCGTGCCGACCATGACGGCCGTGGGGGTGGCCAGGCCCAGCGAGCAGGGGCACGCGATGCACAGGACCGTGATGGCCGCCTGGAAGGCGAGGCGCCAGACCACCTCGCCGTGCGACAGCCTCGAATCGTACTCCTTCCGTGGGACAGCACGCGGGTGGGTGGGCAGATGGGGACGGGGGGGGGGGGGGCAGGATGAACGATTAAACTAAAACTACAAAGCTATTTTTTACTCTACCAGGTAAGGCCCACTGAGCTGGAAAGCTTTTTTTCAGAAACGACCTGGCCACAAATGATAGCTCAACGAAGTGGCTCATCATCGTCATGTAGAAATTTATAGCAGCCAAATAATGTAAAGGCAAGTTGATTCTAAATGTGGAGGAAAAACGCACGCTCAGTCTAAATGTTGAGGAAATATCCACGTGACCATGGGGAGAACATGCAAACTCCAATGTACAGGTGTCAATGTCGGGATCGAACCCATGACCTCCTGTATACCAGGCGAGGTAGTTAACATCGCCACAGTGGTGCCCCAAATATATTAAAAAAACTTTTAAAAAGCGTATGATAATATGCCTCCTTGCCAATATGTCTTTCCACATAGAAAGTGTTTTATGTACAAAAAAATGTTAACCAAACAAAAGTTTTTTTTTTTTACAAAACCATCAGCCACATGGTGTTTCTTGGAGTAGATCTTGTCAGCAATGTTGGTTCAACACCCCAGCGCCGGTTTTGACTCATTAGCAGAGTCAGGCTTTCTTTCACCACTCAATGCTGGTGAAATACCAGATGTTAACAGGCAAGAATCCTCTTTGCTAGATATGGGTCTGAGAAAGTCACGTGGTGGATAGGATGCACCTCAAAAAAATGTATGCGGAGAGACACATTCTGCAAGGAGACGTATATATTGTCCGATTATTTAGTGACTGACATTCTTTCGGGCTACTATAAAAAAAATAAAACACCGTAAAACACGAAAAGCGCCCTTCAATTTCAACAACACGAGCAATTGGTGAAAGGCCCGTGCAAAGGTGCGAAGATCATCGACAGCTTCAGGGGGCAGACATTTTTTTTAGAAGGTGGTGTTGGAAATTCAGGTAAGACACGTTCAGACCAGTATTCGGTGTCGTGGTTTGGCTTAGGATTGAATTAAGCACGGGTCCGCTCAGGTTTCAGCCACTCAGTTGCTTCTAAAGATGTTCAAAAGCCTTGACTTTGGTCAGGCTCACGGGAATCCTAAGTGTGGCTGGAACCACGCTCAAGAGCCAGCTGAAGTTTAGCATGGCTGTGAACCAGAATCAGATTTTTTTTTTCGATTTAAAGCTTTCGTGACTGCAGGGATTCATCTTCTTTGTTCTTTCGGTAAAGTCACGTAGAAGGGAAATAAGAAAATAAAACAATAAAATACAACTCTCACAACAGCGTCTGTCTTTCCGACAGCCCTGTTCTTCACCTGAGGACGACTGCTTGCGTTGTGGCCAAAACGTCGTGATAATTATTTTATTATGTTTTATTATTATTATTTTATTATTTCCCTTCTACGTGACTTTACCGAAAGAACCAAGAAGACAGAATCAGAATATTAAGTTAAGACTGCAGGAAGAATCCTATGAGCTATGAAGCTCTTTATCAAAGTGTGGGGGGGATCAGCAAGCCGCAACAGCAAACACGACACTAAAACACGACAGGAGTGCAAAAGGTAAGCAAGTCACTGATTATAAATAGACATAAATAATTATAGAAGTCCGATGTATCAAGCTTGGGCAAGGCAGCATAAAAACAACAAAACAGTCCCAGACCACAGCAGGATTAATACCACAAAGTCATTCATTCGTCACGCACAGTCAGTGAGGGACCGTTGTTGTGCCAAACGTGCGACCTCTTGCGGTGACGGCATTCGCATAAACTGCTCTTGGCTGCCATACACCGGCGTCTCGAGTGATTTGTTTGATCCACGGATCACGGTGGCGGGAGGGGGGGGCGACTCCGGTGACGTGTCCACAAAAGTGACAGTCGTCTATCCCTCGAACTAATAACAACACGGTAGTAGTGGTCCCTCAATAAAATGGCACACATTAACAGTGAACCGTCGACACTACGTGGGTCAGGATCAAAGGGCCTGGCTCACTGGAGCCAGCGCCGAGTCGGGCCGCGACCACCAACGTTAAACGGGGCAAAGGGGCCGCGTCATTCCACACCGCTGCAGAATCCAACGCGGGGGGGGGGGTGGGGGGGGGCCAAACTCACCGGAAAGTATTTCTTAGCGATGCTGAAATCCACGTAGCCGATGGTGACCCAGGAGAGTAGGGTCACCACCGAAACGCCCACGATGAACGGCACAAAGTAGCCGCTGATCTTGTCGGCAAACTGCTGGATAGGTGCCTGCAGGAGAGGGGCGACAACACGACCCCGCGTTGGTCGGGCGATCGTCCCGCAACGTCATACGGGCCTAATGGCCCCTCACCTTCACCAAGTCTGCGAGATGAAAACTACTAAAGACTGAAAGTTTTTTTCTTATTTTTACCAGTTAAGGCTCATTGAGCTATGTGGCTCTTTTCAGAAGCGACCCGGCCACAAATGATAGCGCAATGAAGCTCATCACACGGAAATACTCTTAAAATGCGTGTTGATTCTTAACGTGGAGGGAAAAACCGGAGGAACCCAGGAGACAAATACATGCGACCACGGAGAGCGAGAAAGACACGCAAACTCCAAATATACAGCAGGCGTCAGGGTCGGCATCGAACCCAGGACTTTCTGCATACCAGGCGAGGTAGTTAACATCTCCGAGCCACCGTGATGATGATGAGAGAGAGAGACACGCAAACTCCAAATATACAGCAGGTGTCAGGGTCGGCATCGAACCCAGGACCTCCTGCATACCAGGCGAGGTAGTTAACATATCACCAGCACGGCACCCATGAAAGCTAGTCCCACCCACGACTGCAGAGTGGGACAAATGCTCGAGCTTGTGTTCACTAGCTGCCTGCGCCACATGTTTAACTTTATGTCACACCATACGTGGCCCACCGTGTTAATCGGAGATGCGAGCAGCAATATAATAATAATCATCATCATCATCATTTCTGTGGTCCCATAGAAATATTAATAATAATAGATGTTATATTCTTGGTTCTTTCGGTAAAGTCACGTAGAAGAGAAATAATAAAAATATTAAATAATATGAATCCCTGCAGTCACGAAAGCTTTAAATCAAAACAATAGATGTTTGGAATGATAGCCCTAAGAATGGGCCAGTGTAACATGCTAATGTACATTAGGGGGGGGGGGGGGGGGCGCTTACCGATGGCAGCGCGTAGGCCACGAGCCTCACCTTGGAAGTCTGCGCCTCCTCCACCAGCCGAACAATTTGGGACAGCGTTGTGTCGGCTCCCACGTGAGTGGCCTTCACCAGCAGGCCGCCGTTCTGGTTGATGGAGCCAGCGATCACCAGGCTCCCCGGCTTTTTCATCACTGGCATAGCCTCTCCTGCGAGCGACGCGGCAGAAATTACAGAAAGACATCAACCTACACCAACATCTCGACGAAGTGGCGAGATGTTAACTACCTCGTCTGGTGTACAGGAGGTTGTGGGTTCGATCCCGACCCTGACACCTGCTGTGTATTTGGAGTTTGCGTGTCTCTCTCTCTCATCATCATCACGGTGGCGAGGAGATGTTAACTACATCGCCTGGTATGCAGGAGGTCGTGGGTTCGATTCCGACCCTAACACCTGCTGTATATTTGGAGTTTGTGTGTCTCTCTCTCTCATCATCATCATCACGGTGGCTAGGAGATGTTAACTACCTCGTCTGGTATGCAGGAGGTCGTGGGATCGATCCTGACACTGACGACTGCTGCTGTATATTTGAAGTCTGCGTGTCTCTCTCTCATCATCATCACGGTGGCTAGGAGATGTTAACTACCTCGCCTAGTGTACAGGAGGTCGTGGGTTCGATCCAGAACCTGACACCTGCTGTATATTTGGTGTTTTCGTCTCTCTCTCTCTCTCTCTCCCTTTAGTCCCGTGGATTTTTCTCCGGGTCCTCCCTCCACATTTTGAATCAACGTGCTTTTTCAATAAATGGCTGCTATAAATGTCCACGTGATAAGCCACTATTGTTGAGCCTATCATTTGTGATAACCAGGTCGCTTTTGAAAAAGAGCTACATAACTCATTTGGCCTTACCTGGCAAAACAATCATAACAGTAAAAAATGTTTTATACTTCAATGTCTGTTCCCTCTCACCGGTGATGAGAGACTCGTCGGCGAGGGACTGCCCCTCGACGACCTTCCCGTCGACCGGGAACTTCCCTCCGGGCAGCACTCGCACCACGTCCCCCCGGTGCACCAGGTCCACGTCCACCTGCTCCTCTCTGCACAGCACAGAGGTCACGGAGTGCAGAGGTCACGGAGTGCAGAGGTCACCAAGGGCAGAGGTCACGGAGCGCAGATGTCACGGAGCGCAGAGGTCACCGAGGGCAGAGGTCACCGAGGGCAGAGGTCACAGAGCGCAAAGGTCACTGAGGGCAGAGGTCACAGAGCGCAGAGGTCACAGAGGGCAGAGGTCACCGAGCGCAGAGGTCACCGAGGGCAGAGGTCACCGAGGGCAGAGGTCACCGAGGGCACAGAGGTCACAGAGGGCAGATGTCACCGAGGGCAGAGGTCACAGAGGGCAGAGGTCACGGAGTGCAGATGTCACAGAGCGCAGAGGTCACTGAGGGCAGAGGTCACCGAGGGCAGAGGTCACCGAGGGCAGAGGTCAAAATGCAGAGAGGTCATCTCAAACTGTCAACCAGCTGATGTCTGTGTCCTCTCTTTGTTGGTATAGCTCTTCCTGTTGAAGCTGTTGCTGTTGATGCACTTTTAAATCTAGATTTAAAAAAAAATCCGTAATGTTTTATTACAACAAAATGCGAGCCCAATTTCACACGCCTAAAGGTTCCAATAACAGGGTACGAAAACGAATTTATTTAGAACTTTTGTGTGTGTTTAGTTTCCACACCAGAGACAGCTTTCCTTAGAGAGCCTAGTCTCACACGGTGTTCGACCAGATGACGCCACAAGGACCACGCTATTCCTGTTTAAACTGCATGTGTTCGCTGTTCCAACTGTTCCTGTTGATGCTGTTCCTACTGTTCATGTCTCAGCCAAGCGAGCACAGCGTCGACCCACGACGTACCCGATGATGTCGTTGTAGAGTCCGTACTTCACCACCGTGGCCTCCGCAGCCTGCAGGGACATCAGCTTGACGAGCGCCTCCGAGGTTTTGCTCTGAAAGGCAAACGCCGGCGAAGGGCAAAATGCGGCGACGTTGAATCGACAAGCGAGCTTACACAGCCCCGTTTCGGCCTTAATGCATTCCACGATTCTTGACAATCTGAAGAGAGTACAAACGCCATGAAACTGTGAAGGTTCCGTAACCTCAAGTTTAAGAAAATTGGAAAAACGTGCATGTAAAACCGGACGCATCGGAACGTTGGTGGCCTTTAAATCCCACATTGGCTTTGGGAGCGAGCTCAACAGACGGGAGTTCAAAATCACTGCTTCAAAGGTTCAATTCAGGTCAGTCTCGGCAAACAATGATGCAGGTGAAACGAAAAAGTAACGTGCGCCAAGCTTCGTCTTTGTAGAAACAGGGAAGAGCAGTGTTAGTATCAGCTTATTCTCCCCTCCCCCCCCACCCCGAGCGTTTCCTTTTGGCAAACTCGCCTTCTGCCGTCGATCGTTCAGCCACCAGGAGAATAAAAATGACCTTAACATTCACGGAGGTTGTCCAACTGTGGCAGATCCCGACGTTTCTTAGTTTAAAAAGGTGAGCGTGTTACGTTGAGCGGAGGACATTTCTATTTTTTTCCCCACCATTAATTTCATCTATCCTTGGCGTTAGTTAAATATCTGGTTGCCGCTAAGACGTTAGCGCGGCAACTCTGAAGCGCGAACGCGGCACGGGAAGCCCCCCCCCCCCCATTGGCTCACGGCGCTCACGTGACAATACTGACTTTGCCGTTCGTCTTCCTCAAGGCGTCTTCCTGAAGACGACCGCTTGTGTTGCGATCGAAACGTCGTAGTATTTTTAGTTATTTTTTAAAATTTCCTTCGAACCTATCTACGTGACTTGACCGAAAGACCCAAGAATATGAATTCCTGCAGTGACGAAAGCTTGAAGTCAAGGCAAGGCTGTTCAAGACTCCGCTCCCCGCGGCGCGCTCAAACTTCCTTCTGGGGCGGCCTCACCTTGGCGATGTGCTCGAGCCAGCGGCCAAGCGACACGAACACGAAGAGCATGGGCGGCGTATCGAAGAACGTGATGGGGCTGACCATCGCCTGCTCCCCCATGGCCACGAAGAGCACCACGCACGAGTAGGCGTACGCCACGGTGGTCGCCAGCACAATCAGCACGTCCATGTTGGCCGTGCCGTGACGCAGGGCCCCGTAGGCCTGCTTGTAGAAGTACCAGCCGCCGATGAACTGCGGGAGAAGGGAGATGGGCGCTCAGGGGGCCTGTGGACTGGTGGTTGGGAATGAAGCCGGAAACGCCCGTGGAATGCCCCCGGAATGCCCCGGAACGCCGTAGCGGGAGTGGATTTCTACCTGAGGACGGCTGCTTGCGTTGTGGCCGAAACGTCGTGAGAATTATTTTATTATGTTTAATTTTTTTTATTTTATTATTTCCATTCTACGTGACTTTACCGAAAGAACCAAGAAGAAGGGGAGTGGATTTGTGAACCCTGCGACTGGGTTCCGGAAGGAATCAAGGATTCATCTTGTTTCTTTATTTCTTCCTTCTCCCTAACTTTCCGCTGACTTGTAAGGTTTCTATATGCAAGTGTGAACTCCCGTGTGTTCTGACTGAACTGCCCTGGCCACGCCTCTTGTATCAGCCAGCCAATAGTAGGACCACAGACATTGGTTTCATTACTACTATATACTAAATATCAACTTCTTTTTGTTAATTATTAAAAGGCCACTACAAAGGCTTTTCTCTAGATGTGCCCTATAAAATAACACTATTTTAGGGGGGGGGTCACTCGCCCCCTGGTATAATAAATGTTGTTACGTCACTGCGCTCGGCACATATGCGTTCCCCTAGCGATGTAATCCCATTCCCACCCCTACGAATCGTTCAGGAGCCTGGGTTTTACAACGCTGTGCAGGTTAACCCCTTTCCCGTTCCGATGAGGTACGTGTCGGTCATCAGTTCTTCCTTCCTGATTCCGATGTACACGAATGTGTACATCATCCAAACGAACCCGGCAGAAAAACTAAAATAAAGTTCTTTACAGCCTAGTCCCCATTGGTGTTGGACCAGATGACACCAGAAGGCGTACAACTCAAACACAGTGCAATATCAGAGTATTGAGAGCTCTAAAGAAAGCTGTCTCGGGTGTGGACCAATCAACTTCAAGGACAGTGCATATTATTATCATTATCAGAGTTGCTTCTTTTTGTTTGCTTTTTGACTACTTGTGTTGTGGTTATTGCAAACATGATGCCTTGAATAAAGGTGTCAGTTTTGTACCAGTTTAAAAGGGTAAAAACCTACTCCTATATTGCTACTGGTAAAAGAGATCTCATAGTGTAAAGTAACTTCATCGGTACCGAGGCTCCCACAAGGCCATGCGGGGAGAAGGCACGTGGCACAGTGTTTGGCACCGGCTATCGTCGAGTGCGGCGGTCGTGTCTCTACGGTTCTCTGCGGTGAATAACAACGTCGTTAAAAACAACGGCGCTACTACGCCTCTCGAAATAAAATTAACGCCGAGCCTCTTGCACCGTTCCGAGATTCGGCGGTGAACGAGACCCACCCACCACCCTGCGACCTGCAGACGCCTCGGAACGGGGTAGGGTTAAGTGGGCCACGGCGTGACCTTGACGACAGCTCGTTCACCCGCTTGTCGCAAGAGGTTCCGTTCACGTCGAGCGGCCACCCTCCCCATTTAATAACCGCGGGCGTCTTAACGGCGGAGGCGCGCGCCCGTCCGCTTCGGAGTCGACGTTAAAGATCCCGTGACGTCACTCGCAAGCGTTTGGGGGGCACGTCGTGTGCCGCCGCCGGCGTCACGGTTCAAATTTGAATCTACAGGTGGCAGTCGTCGTCCCCTGCTGCTGCTGCAAAAAAAAAAAAACTTGGCGGGGGCCTTCCTGAAAACGAGGAATTCCTGGGTAAGCGAACGTAATAATAATGGTAACGATAACGTGATCTGTGGATTTTATGTTGTTCGTATTCGTTGGGAGTCGATACCTGGACTGGGGTGCACAACACGAAGGCAGCCAGGTTCATCAGAGAGAGTCCCGGCACGATGTGCTTGGCCAATATGCCGGTGTGGTGGCCCTCGTGGTGGCGTTCTGTCACCATCATGTAAATCATCATCCCCATGGTAGGCACCACAATAATCAGGCTGAAGAAGAATGACCTTCGCCACCTGTAACACACACGCACACACAAAAGATGAAGATGCCCTGTACAGCTAGGAATATAATATATCAAGTTCTTAAAAAAAAGTTATTCAGCAAAATACAAATCGGAGTCAACAAGGAGTGATGCTCTAATCTCACCAACATTACACAGACACATAAAAAAAAAAATCCATAAGGAGCCGTCCATAAATGAAGTCACGCACCTGGGGGGGGGGGGGGGGGTCAGACATTTGTGACGATGTGTGACGAGGGGGGGGGGGGTTTGAAAAATGTGACGTCACATAAAAATGCGCAACTTTATTAAATATAGAATTGTTATAACACTAATTGTTTTAACAACACTCCTACAACATCAGAGTGCAGCGCCACATTAAATACGCACTTCAATGACAATACTTTAAAGCGATTTGAAGCATGTTTTATTTTCAAAATGGAAATATGGTTTGGGGGGGGGGGGGGCAGAGCTTTGTGACGTCATATTTTAGGGGGGAGGGTTTTTTTGTGACGCAGTCTGACGAGGGGGGGGGGGGGGTCAAAAATTGTCCCAAATCGCGTGACATCATTTATGGACGGCCCCTAAAAGAAATTGGAGAAAAAACATAGCTCGCATTAGCCATATCAGATGCCCTGACAACAGTCGTCATCGCAGTCAATGCATACAACGGTTGGAGCTGTGGCACAGTGGTTAGCGTGCTGCTCGCTGAACCTGGTCACCTGAGTTTGATCCCTGCACACCGCTAAATATGCGAGGTGATCTTCACCGGTTTGGAACGTCTAACCGCATAGCGTGGGCATCTTAAGGCAATATGAGCGACATCAGTATCTCACTGGTGAATCTTGTCCGAGTGGTCGAGGTGGTTCCCTGTGCGGTCTCTCTTCAGGTGGACGGCGTGGAACCCGGCATTCTGTGAACAACACGATGGCGATGATTAAACCTGTGTTAGACATCCAACGCAGGTGTTGTGGGGTGGGGAGGGGTTACTGGGAACGGGGTGGAGCAACGCGATATCGCGTCTCAAATTGAGCGCGCGTGTCTAAATTATTTTATAAAACCCCATTAATGTATAATATGCCATGTAAAATATCATTTCTTATACTCTGGAATGGATTATTTCCTTTCCCTTCATTTCATAGGGAAAAATTCGTTGGGTATACGTCATTTTCGGCATAAGTCCTCCGACCTTCTGGAACGAATTAACGACGTATACCGAGGTACCACTGTATACTGCTCCGTTGCATCGGACTGTTCTCCGCGAGTGTGGACTCTCCGACTTGCGAGTCGAGCGATGGGCTGTAAAGTGCTCGTGGTTTGTTGAATAATAAGATCAAGATAAAATTAAATGACAAGATATACGACACACAGAGAACACGTCGGCGCGGCGCGGACGACGGGCTGACCTGGACAGCCTTGATGATGTCCCGTGGGCCGATCTGGTCCGGGTCGAACTCCACGTGCGCCCGGTTTGTGGCCAGTGCCACGGCGGCGCTCGTGACGCCGTGGCACTGCGTGAGCGCCGACTCGATGGCGTGAGCGCACGATGCCGACCGCATGCCCTGGACCTGCCGGAGCCACCGGGGCAGAGGGGCCATGTCGCCGAACAGGTCAGAGGTCAAAGCGGCAATCGCATGATCGCGCGGCACCGCCGTCGCTCCTGAACTTGTCAAATGAAGACTTGAAATTTTTCGACGCTGTTATGTTGTTACCTATTTGTCGGTTCGAGACCATCATCTGAGTGTGATCACCCTCAGCTTTTTACACGATTTTATTTAACTCCTGTTGTTGTTGTCGTATCCTCAAATCTTGTAACTTAATTTTAACCCACTTCCCAATGTGGTATCGACTGCAAACTTAGTATACATATGTCATACCGATGACAATACTATAGTCTATCATGAAAAATACATATTTTTAAACGTTCTTTTTTCTATGTTATGTTTCGGCTTGGGTCCAATTGTCTACGGTCAACTAACGTTGGCTATTATTGCGCACGGTCCATTACGTTATGGCAAGCTTCCATTACTAGTCCATTTCATGAAAGTGTGTTTTTTAAATATTTTTTTAATGTATATTATTAGTTCGAGTCTCAAAACACTTTCTCAGGAGGGTCCTACCAAGGTTTTGGCAGTAGAGGTTGGTTTTACCCTCCACATTTAGAATCAACGTGCGTTTTGCGTATCTGGTATATGGCTGCTATAAATTTTCACGTGATGATCAGCCACTTTGCGGGGCTATCATTTGCAGCCAGATAGCTTCTTAAGTTTGTCACTATAAATCCTTTATATGCGTGGCGGCTAGAGTCCTCTCGTCCTCTGGCTTGAGATGGCTGCCACCTATTTGTCAGATGATTGCCTGCCACCATTAAGCAATTGGTAATTAAATATAAAAAAAAATTCCCTAAAAAGTGTAAAGTTATGGAAAAAAATGTTTACGAAAATAAATTGTCACGTAAGCAAACAAGTGAACTTAATATAAAGGATTTAACAAGTATAACCCGTAAAAACAAAGTTTTTCACTATAAATCCTTTATATGCGTGGCGGCTAGAGTCCTCACGTCCTCTGGCTTGAGATGGCTGCCACCTATGGGTCAGATGATTGTCTGCCAGCATTAAGCAATTGGTAATTAAATATTTAATTTGTTTTCCCTAAACAGTGTCAAGTTATGGAAAAACATTTACCACGAAATTAAATTGTGCAAAATGTCAGCTCGATTGGATCACGGAAAGTGGGTTAAAAAACGACCGAAAGATTTGCACGGTCGTAAGCGCGCAAGCAAGCAAGTGAACTTAATATAAAGGATTTAAAAAGAGCTATATAGCTCGGTGGGCCTTGCCTAATAAATTAAAATGTAGTTTATAGTTTTATGTTGATTTGAAGCTTTCGTGACTGCAGGAATCCATATTCTTTGGTTCTTTCGGTAAAGTCACGTAGGTATAAAAAGAAAATAAAAAATAATATATCACGACGTTTCGATCACAACACAAGCGGTCGTCCTCAGGCGTAAAAGAAAAAAAATCGCTTGTGTTGCGATCGAAACGGTGTGATATATTATTTTTTATTTTCTTTTTCTACCTACGTGACTTTACCGAAAGAACCAAAGAGTATAGTTTTATGTTGCTGTGCGTAATCCCAATCGAGTAATTTGCAGTGTTGATGGTTCAACATTGGCATGTTCGGGCCAATACCAGTTCCATCATATGCTGTGTTTTTGTTAGTTATGCGAGGAAACTGGACAACCCATAGAGAACCGCATGCAGATTACGGGGAGAACACAGAACACACTAATGCCAAGCACCTGCACGTAGCATGTATATAGACGTTGAACTTCTTTCGTGCCGTACGTAGCCAGCCGTGCTAATCGAAGGCAGCATGGCAACTTTAGACCGCAAGGTTTGGGAGGCATTGAACTTAGCGTGCAATAACCGAACCATTAACAATGCAATGAGGGGACACAGGTCACATTGTACACTCCTTTAAAAACACAAACACCTCTGCTGACGTTCCGGTCTGCAAAAAAACATCGAAAGCAATTGTTTTTTTTTGTGTTTTTGAGTTTTTGTTTTCTATAACGGTCGGGACGCGTACCACGAGCTCCAGGCAGCCCGGCGCGATGTCCTGGTTGTCGAGGAGCGTCGCCCCAAAGCCCATGTCTCGCACGCTCTCCGCGATCTCCTCCGGCGCCACGGAGGCCGGGTGGTAGCGCACCTCGGCCTTGCCAGCCATGAGCGACACCAGCACCGACTGAACACCTGCCGGGGGGGGGTGAACGTACGCATGTACGTATGTACAGTCTGTTCTCCAAAAACGCGGTAGGTGGTAGTTGCGTTCCTGAACAACAGTACACGGTCGGCGATAACACGTGAGATGCGTACGCAGGCTGAACAAAAACGGAGGCGCGTGTTTAGCATCTAGAAGCATCCAGCAGCATCCCGCCTTGTGCGATGCTACGCCGAGGTAGCCGTACGACCGTTTATTCCCACTCGTGCGACGTAGCTCTGTTCACTCGATCGCGCCACATTCAATTCGTATATCGGCGTAATAAAAATATCACGCGAACGGACTGTGTGTTGAACTTTCGCACCGTACGTTGCCAACCAATCGGAGGTGCGTAGTGAGATCGCAACCCGCTGGACGTGCTGACAACACATTCGGAAGTGAATACTTTACGCGACAGGCCATTCTTTACTCGTACAGCGTATTATATCGCTTATATGCCATTTGTGTCTTTGCTGTGTTCGGATTTGATCATTTTGGTGACCCAGGGCGCTCTTGCAAGTGAGACTCCTCTCCGGGATTCTTGAGTTCTCACCTCCTTGTAAAAAAAAATAAACCTGAAACCCGATAAACTTGGGCTACTTACAGCGCACTGCAATTAAGCCTAACAAGAGATTACTGATAATTGGTTCTTTACCCTTCTATCTGGCAACAAAACTGACACCTTTTTGCAAGGAGTCATGCAAAAAGGTGTCAGTTTTGTTGCCAGATAGAAGGGTAAAGAACCAATTATCATATTTTTACTGGCAAATGAGGTCCCCATAGAAGAGATTACTGGGCACATTTCTTAATGGGCATTACTTTTCGTGTTTCCTGCAAGAGCGGAGTGCGTTTGGAGCACAGTGGGCCAGAATAAACTCATGCGCCAGGGAATAACACTTAAAGGTCACACAGACGGGTGTGGCAGCTCACCGCCAGCTGTACTTCCCCTACAAAGATCTCCCGTGTAGCCTTAAAAGACCGTTGAGGCAACAGCTGCTAGCGAGCACACGTGAAGGCCATTACGGAACGCGGGGGGGGGGGGGACAGCGTCACGCACGCCCTGCCGCCTTAGTCTTCCCCAATGCTGATGCCTACGCACCACGCCAGGCGGTGCGTAGGCATCAACGTGCGTCCAGAGTAATTTGTCCCGCGACAAATTTCCACGCGACTATAAGCCAATTCGTCGGGATATCATTTGCGATAGCCAGGTGGCTACTGCATGGCTCAGTGGGCCTTACTTGCTAATATACTAAAAATATCTTCTTGGTTCTTTCGGTTAAGTCACGTAGAAGGGAAGTAATAAAATAATAAAAATAAAATACAATAAAATAATTCTCAGGACGTTTCGGCCACAACGCAAGCAGCCGTCCTCAGGTGAAACCAGGTCTGGTCGAGGCGACAGCGTCTGACAGACCTGGTTTCACCTGAGGACGGCTGCTTGCGTTGTGGCCGAAACGTCGTGAGAATTATTTTATTATGTTTTATTTTTATTATTTTATTACTTCCCTTCTACGTGACTTTACCGAAAGAACCAAGAAGATGAATCCCTGCAGTCACGAAAGCTTTAAATCGAAATACTAAAAATAGTTTAGTTTTTTACACGCTTTTATTTAACTCACTCTGTCTGTTGTTGTTGTTGTCGTATCCTCAAATATTGTAACTCAATTTTAACTCACTTCCCAATGTGGTATCGATTGAAAACTTGGTATACTTATGTCATACTGATGGCAATACTATATTCTATCATTAAAAATTAAAAAAATATTTTTAAACAATCTTTTTTATATGTTATGTTTCAGGCTTAGGTCTAATTGTCCACGCACAAACTGACGTTGGCTGTAAATCACCACGGCCCCTTACGTTATAGCAAGCTTCGTGGCCACTTCCTGGAGTCGTGGAGTTCTGCCATTATTCCTACGGTACAGTTCATTAAAGCGTGCTTAAAAAAAAGTATTTTTAAATATTACTTATTAGTTTAGACTGCATGCCCCTGGGCAGAGGGAGGATGGGGGAGGGGGGAGGAAGCCCTTACCGCGCCTTCTGCCGAGCACGCGCTCGATGTTTGCCACGCAAGAGGCGCAAGTCATGCCCGTGACCATCAGGAAGCACTTGGCCTCCTCTTCCTTCGCAGATGCCACCACCGCCTCTTCCTCGGTGGGCACGAGCTGCATGGCCCCCTTGCTGCTGCTGCTGGTGGGCGCGTGCCAGCCCGGCCTGCTGCCGTTGAGCGAGGGGGTAGTCGAGCCCTCCAGTAGGAACTGCGAGTGGCTTGCCCGTGACTTGGGATCGCTGCCATCTGTGGTGAGACGGGCGGGCAACGTTCGCAATTGTAGCATTCCTGTGTTGATTTTTTTGGTATTTTTTTTTATTGTTGTTGTAACTTTCTGACCTCGTGTGCCCCTACTGGACATCTGCACAAAAAAAGCTTCCCAGCTCATCAGATTTCTCCAGCACAGCGAAACCTTAGATACGAGTAACTTGGTCTGCGAGTGTTTTGCAAGACGAGCAAAAATTTTAAATACATTTTTACTTGATAAACGAGCGAGGTCTTGCAATACGAGTAGTACGTCCAGTATACGCTTTGTCTGCCGAGCGTCACGTGATCACAACTGAGCCGATGGTTCTTCTCTCTCTCTCGCTGCGGGATTGTGGGTAATCGTCTCCCATGCTCGGTCTCAGTCAGCATGCCTCACTCGTATAGTCAACATCCGTGCGAGCGTAAACTGTTTACTATAGTAAGGGGTCATATTTTTTGTACCAGTTGAAAGGGTAAAAACCTATTACTATATTTTGCCACTGGTAAAGGAGGTCTCATAGTGTAAATGCTTACCCCGAGCTCTCAATACTCTGATAGTGCACTGTTTTTGAGTTGTACGCCTTTTGGCGTCATCTGGTCCAACACCAATGGAGACTAGGCTCTAAAATTAGCTGTCTCGGGTGTGGACCAATCAACTTCAAGGACAGTACATATCATTATCATTATCAGAGTTGTTTCTTTTTGTTTGCATTTTGACTGCTTGTGTTGTGGTTATTGCAAACATGACCCCTTGTATAAAGGTGTCAGTTTTTGTATCAGTTGAAAGGGTAAAAACCTATTACTATGTTTACTATAGTGTTGTGACCATTTCCGCGAAATCCTCAAAAGGAGGCAAAAGCAAGTGTCATTGGATAGGTTTCCTTGTTAAAGTCGCACAAAAAAAATATTCCAGTGAGCCAACAGATGGCAGTGATTCCGTTAGTGACGGTGAAAGTCGTTCCTACACAATAACCCTCCTCCTCCTCTCCTCTCTCTCGTCTCCCTCACACCAGCCACGATTAAATGTAATTAATACATATTTGATTACTTTAAATTTAAATAATAAAAATATAAAAAGTGATTTTGCATGAATCATTTTTACATGCATATTTTTGGGTTGTGGAACAAATCATCTGAGTTTCCATTATTTCTTATGGTGAAATTCGCTTTGATATACGAGTGCTTTGGATTACAAACACGTTTCCGGAACGAATTATGCCTCGCAATCCAAGGTATTACTGTATCTATAAAATAATCTGATTCTGACTCTAGGGGCCACAGTTTGGGTCCCATGGTCACGATCGCACGACTGTGGCTTGCCTTTCATGTATCTCCTTGAGTCTCTACGTACCTCCACTGGTCTGTATGCATCTGCATGAGTCTCTATGCGTCTCTCTGGGTTTACAAAATGGTCCAGGGGTTTGGCAGGTGATACGTGAATTCAATGGGAACTCAATGTTCACTCACGTTTTCATAAATTTACACAGCGCCCTTAAACATTCTTTCTCAGGGCGCTAGCTGGAGCTGACCGACAACCCTGACATCAGATTCCCATCGCCGCGCACTCTCGCGCTGACACAGTGCATCATGCTCACCCCGCCAGTCCACAAAGGCATCGCACGACCGCACGTCCAAGGCCAAAGTTCAAGTCGCTCGCTCGGGCGCGGAAGTCTTTGATTACTGTCGCAACAATCGACAATGGCCCGCTTCCTTTTGAGCTACACGCCATTGCTGCGCTGATGACCATCATGAGTTTCATGAGTTTTGGCCGGACTGCTCGTTGCCGACGCAACGTGCATCATTGCTCGCGTATTCCCACGGTCGCCACTTGTAAAAGACAACCGCCTCACTGTCATGTAGCGGGGGTGGGGGGGGGCGAAACATCGTCGAACGCGAAGATGAATTATGCAGGCCATGCATGAAGAACGTACATCTGCGCATCAGGATCCGATGATGGAATGCACATTATATAAATTAGAATTTTCCTGGCATGAGTCATGTGGTCATGACTCATGCCAGGGTCTTGCTATGTTGAAACAAGAACAAAAACAAGTTTTACCCTTTCTGGCAATAACACAGGAGGTGTTAAGATGTACAAACACCAAATAGAAACCCTTTTCAAGGAATAAAGTTACTGCATTAACCACACGTACTTGTGATGAACATGTTAACAAAACAAGCTATGATAATATATGGCACTGCCTTTGAAAGTGATTGGCCTACACCAGATACAGCCTTCATCAGGGCCTTGTCTCAGCAGTGTCAAACCAGAGAATAACAAAAGGTGAACACAGTACAAGGACAATGCCACTATCAGGGCATTTACAGCTCGGGGTGAGCAGCTACATAATGGGACCTTTTTGCCAGCATCTTGCTACGTTGCTTCACGCACACTGATCGCGGTCGACAATCAGTGGGGCAGCAGCGAGCCCACTCTCCCACTCTAAACCGAGGTGCACAGGATCCGGGACATGAGGTGTGCAGAGTTTCTGTACCACCTCACTCCTATTGAAATATCATGATTTTTTTTTCAATAACCAATATGTAATCTAGATATATATATAGCCACTTATTCCAAGACGCTTTACAGAAATTATAAAAGGGTAGTTCTAGATTTGAAGTTTTCGTGACTGAAAGGGTTCATACTCTTTGGTTTTTTCGGTAAAGTCACGTAGGTAAAAACGAGAAAAGAAAATAAATCACGACGTTTCGGAAGCAACACGCCTCAGTCATGTTGCTGGAGCAGTCAACACCTGATGACGTTGCTTGTGTTGCTTCCGAAACATCGTCATTTAATTTATTTCTCTTTTTTACCTATGTGACTTTACCGAAAAAACCAAAGACTATAAAAGGGTAGGCCTGGTCGTCGCTGGGAGGGCGTGGGCAGGGAGTAGCAGCAGCAGCAGCAGCAGGATGGGCTAGGGAGAACAAGTTTTAGTTATAAATAACTCATATGCTTTACTCGGCGTTTCATCGTGAACGAAAAACCTGGGGCGTATGTGATTGATAAAGAGTGCGAAGGTATGGTGGCGTCCGTGAATTAACAAACAAAATGCATTCGTAGGAAGCGGAGGATGGGGGTGGGAGGGGGGGGGTCATAGGATGTAGAGGCGGCGGCTTCACCGACCGAGCAGGGAAGCCTTGAAGCCCTTGTCGGTGATGCTGGCGCAGAGCGCGGCGGGGCTGGCGCCGCGGGGGTCGTAGTGCACGGTGGCGGTGCCGTCGACGAGCGAGGCGCGCGCCGTTTTCACGCCGGGGCACTCCAGCAGGGCGCGCTCCACGGCGAGGACGCCAGCGGCGCTCTCCATGTGCTCCACGCGCAGCACCACGACGCTGCTCAGCGGAGGAGGAGGGGGGGAAGCCACCGCCTTCGTCGACGTTGGCGAGACGCTCGCTAGGGCGGGGAAAGGAAAGCGTTACCGATGCGGTGACCCCCCCACGTGCCGGATTGGCCATGCAGGCGGCACTATCGCCAGTTCCTTCTGCTGGTGTTGGAACCCTTTCCCGTTCATCAGTTTTTTTTTCCCCGATTCCGTTTGCGATGACGTACGCGTACATCGTTGAAACAAAACCGGAAGAAAAAATAAAATAACTTTTATCGGTACCGAGGTTCCCACAGGGCCATGTGTTAGGCGCCAGCTATCATAGAATGCGGTCGTATTGCTACGGTTCTCTGCGACAAGTAGAATGACTCAAAAACAACGGCGCTACGCCCCTCTCAATAAAATGAACGCTGAACCCGCTTGCGCGTTCCGAGATTCGGCGGTCAACGGTACACCTTAAATTTCGATTTAAAGCTTTCGTGACTGCAGGGATTCATCTTCTTGGTTCTTTCGGGAAAGTCACGTAGAAGGAAAATAATAAATTATTAAAAATAAAACATAATAAGATCAAATTCTAACGACGTTTCGGCCACAACGCAAGACCCCTCGCCAAACCTCCTACGCATTTCACAAGTAGTACTAATCGCATATCTGCATTTCCCATAAATATGCAAAATTCCTCTTGATATGCAAATTATTTTGTCAAGTCGCTCTTCGCCCCTCCATCCCAGCATAAAGTCACTCCAAGCCTGGGGCATGCCATTCAGACCTGTTCTCCACCTGAAGACGGCTGCTTGCGTTGTGGCCAAAACGTCGTGAGAATGATTTTATTTTTATTATTTTATTATTTTCCTTCTACGTGACTTTACCGAAAGAACCAAGAAAACGGTACACCTTCCCTGTGATTCGCAGACGGAACGGGAAAGGGTTAAAATAATTCTGTGGTCGGCAGCCGGAAAAGACAAGCACGCACAAATGGTGCCCTCCACCACCCGACACGGCCAATCAGTAATGGATTTGTCACTTAAACAAAACGCCAAATAGTTACTACTTCAGCCCACCGGTGCGTTTGAAGAGTGAATCCACAACATTACAATCTGAGCACTTTTGAAGAGTGAATCCACAACATTTACAATCTGAGTACTCAGAATGTAAATTTTGTGGATTGTTTACGTGACAAAACCCTTACTATACTCTTTGGTTCTTTCAGTAAAGTCACGTAGGTATAAAATAAATTAAATCACGACGTTTCGGGCGCAACACAAGCGTCCGTCATCAGGTGGGACATGTCCGTGTCGGGTGGTGGAGGGTTTCGACACATTGACACTTACGCGATTGAACCCAGCAACCTTTAGTATGAAGTACTGCCCAGTTTTACCTTTAAAGATGCCGGGTGGAAGCGCCTCGATGGCCTGGCACAGAGCCGCGGGGGAGATGTCCTCCGGGCTGTAGCTCACCGCAGCCGACTTTGTCTCGAGGGAAACCGCGATGCTGTGCACTCCGGTCAAATGGCCGATGTTGCTTTCGATGTTAAAGACGCAAGACTTGCAGTGCATCCCCTCGACGCTTATGACGACGTTCGGACACTTCCCGAGGCCCAGCGACGTTGGTTTGGCTTCTTTGAAATGGCACACAGAGCCGTTCATCTCCTGCAGTTTCTGCACGGCCTGCGGCGACAACCTCAACTGTTTCGGACGCGACCTCACCGTGGTTTGCAAACCACATTCGGCGATCTGGTTTTGGATGTCGTCGACGCTGATGACGAGCTTCTGGAACCACACAACCACCTCCTGGCTGGACAGGTTAACCTTCACGCGCAGGACACCATTCAACTTGCTCAACTTCCCCTCCACTGCATTCACTGCCGATTGTCCAATCAATCCTTCGAGTCTCATTTTCACCATATCCTCGGCAGTTGATCTGCCCTCTTCCGCGGCGTCCGTGGCAAGCTTCCGATCGACGGGGCGCGCCTCGAATCCCATGTCTTCGATTTCGTCGCACAGCTTCTGCATGCTTATGACATCCGGAATGAATGCGGCCGTGGCATTGTTTTTCTGTAAGCACACGCTGAAACTCAGCACTCCCTTGAGCTTTGACATTTTCCCCTCTATGCTCTGCACACACGACTGACAGGTCATGCCCACAATGTCAACGTCGGCGACTTCCAGCATCATGACGGTGGCTGCTCCCCTGTGAGCTGCCTCAAAGCCAATGTCCTCAATGCTGTCTTTCAGAGAGTTGAGGGTATGCAGTGCCGGGTCGTACAGAACTGAAGCACTCGTATTCTCCAAAGACACCTGCGGAGAGAATGATTAGATACTCATTAGGTGTCTACAAGCTTACAAATATCCCGTACCGCCTTTGAGCACAGTTGGCTACGTACAGTGTCAACGAAGTTCAACATACATTTTTGTATTAAAAATTTTTTTAGTTTACCAACTAAGGCCCACACTGAGCTATACAGCTCTTTTTCAGAAGCGGCCTGGCCACAAACGATAGCTCAACGAAGTGGCTTTTTACGTGGAAATGTAAAGCAGCCAAATATTCTAAACGCACGTTGATTCTAAGTGTGGAGGGAAAAACCAGAGGACCGAGAGAAAAATCCACGCGACCACGGGGAGAGAGACATGCAAACATACAGCAGGTGTGTGTCAGTGTCGGGATCGAACCAACGACCTCCTGTAAAACAGGCGAGGTAGTTAACATCTATACACACGTACAATATAGGACCACAGAGCGAGGATAACTTAACCTTATGGCGGGTCCCCGGGGTCCCATTAGCCACTGGCTCTCGCATGAACTGCGTTGCGACGTAATTGTATGTCTGTTGAAGGCGAACGATACGGAAATCTATTCCTCTCAACGAGCTCTACACGATGCGCTAATCAAAGTTTTGTTTATGACGACGGCATTCGTCCTCGCTGCTGCGCTCTGACATGACAACAGAATGATCCGCGCCGGTGGGTCGCGGCGTTTATGTGCGCGGTGGGACGGAGTCGCCAAAAATAAATAAATTACGATTTTGACTTCTATTTATTTGGGATCCCGTCATAAGGTTCAACTGTTGGTAAGCATCGGGTTGTGGACGACTTCCCAAGCCGCGTGTCTGCAATTTGCCCCCAAGCCTCCGTGCGAAAACATAAGTCTACAGCGATTCGAGATGCGGTTTGCATGAATGATAAAACATTTGAAATTACGTAACATGTAACAAATAATAACGCAATATCAATTGTCATCGCTCATCACAACCACATTTCTCTTCATATAACGTATGATAAGCAAATGTCGATGGGAATGTTTTATAAACTGATAATGCAGGCAAAATGTAGCCATTATTACAAAAAAGTATATTGTGCACACCAAAACCATGCATTTGATATACAAATTAAACTTACGGTGAAAATACACATTCGACCCTTCTACAATTGCGCACTCGTTATAACCTCGGTTATAAGAGCTGCGCGTTTATAAACGCGCTTACTTACTAAATATAATCTATTTAAATTTGTTTTACCTCCAACAGCTCTCCCATGTCCAGGTGTCCTCAATTACGAACAGACGGAATTACGTATGTTCACTTAAATTCATTTAAATTCTGACGCAGTGGAAAAAAGAAATCGTCTCCGCGTTCGAAATTGAATCTCGGTGGCCTTCTGGCACGGCACGGCTGGCAGCATCAGGATGGAGGGACACGCGCACCCCATCCGACCTGGCCATGTGTTCTCGCCACTGTGGCGCCCCAGGGTGGCGAGATGTTAACTACCTCGACTGGTGTACAGGAGGTCTCGGGTTCAATCCAGACCCCGACAACGACTCTACTTACGATGGAGATGCGTTACGACGACCCCATCGTAAGTCAAAAATATCGTAAGTCGAAGATGGCCTAGCTTATACAGGAGTCATAAAGAATGGTGATAATTTAGCAAAACAGAGCAATTTACAGTACCGTACTGTATAAACTATATACTGTATTTATTAATTACAATACTGTATTGCACGGTAAAATGTAAAGAAAAAAAAACAAGGTAAATTCTTAGCCAACCTATATGAACTGCAATTTTCAGGAAACAATCCTATCTGCTATAAAAACTTTTAACATGCATTGAATGTATCGTATCGTGGTAACCCTAAAATGAAATCGCTAAAGCTACGTATCACACATGCATTGAACGTATCGTAACGTATCATGTTGTACTGTACTCACCAAGATTCGTACGCTGCTGCGTTTGCCTGCCGCGCGAAATTTAAAATATTTAACAATTTTGTCGTATCGCTATCGCCATCGTAAGATCGAAATATCGTAAGCCGGACCCCATCGTAACTCGGGGACTGTCTGTATTTGGAGTTTCACTCCTCGTGGTGGTGTGGATTTTTCTCCGGGTCCTCCGGTTTTCCCCTCCACATTTATAATCAACATTCATTCAGAGTATTTGGCTACTATACATTTCCAAATGACAAGCCACTTCGTTGAGCTATCGTTTGTGGCCAGGTCGCTTCTCAAAAAGAGCTGTGTATCTACATCATTAGACCTCCTTTGCCAGTACCAAAATATAATAATAGTAGGGGTTTCCCATTTTTTCTGGCAACAAAACTGAAACGTTTTTACAAGGATTCATGTCTGCATTAACCACAATACTTGCAGTCAAAATGCAAATAAAAAACACACTATGATAATATATGCATTGTCCTTGAAACTGATTAGCCGTCCCTTGGTGTGGACCAATCAGTTTCAAGGACAATGCCTATATTATCAGAGTGTGTTTTTGCTTGCATTTGACTGCAAGTATTGTGGTTAATGCACACATGAATCCTTGTAGAAAGGTTTCAGTTTTGTTGCCAGAAAAAAGGGGAAAAACCCTATTATTAAGAGCTGTGTAATTGAGAGTGTCAGGACCCAGCATTGAAATGTTTACGAAGGTTTCGGAAGCTGTTCAATATGCTATCGCCTGTTACAAGTTGATTCATGAAGAGACGTAGAGAGCAACTGTGCAGATATCTGGTATGGTTTTCAAGAGAGTAGAGAGGAAACACAAACACCAAAGGGAATCAGCATCTGCGCGTGCCGCAAAACCGGTAACCGTTTTTGTTGTTGCCGTTTCACGCGGTTACCGGCGATGCTGCCCAACCCAAATGTTACCAACCCCCTACAACGGCACGCGTGTGCCGAATGGGACCAGGCCTCGTGACATGGAAGCGCAGGACGCAACATGTCAAATACACAAAAGGTCATCATGTTTTCGCGTTACTTGTAAAACGTCGCGAGAACGTTTGGATCCACGTTACCCCCCCCCGCCCCTTGTATGTGTGGTGTGTGAGTGTTGCTCCACTGATTTCTATTTTACAAGCAGTACGCAAAAGTCCAACCGACCGTTGCCCAAGAGGCCATGCTTTACAATTTACACAAGCACTTTCCGTTATAAAATAACCCCTGTCAGTGACCAGGCAATTGTTTTAAATTTCACGGGGGGGTTCCTAAAGTACTTACGACAAGGCACATGCAAAAGAAACGGCTAATTGTTTTGGTTTCTATCCACATTTGACGGATATTTAAACTGGTTTAGAGGAAAACTTGTTTTAAAATGTGAAAATAGTTAGAGATCTTTGGGATTTGTTTTATTGTTAAATATGAAGTCAAACAAATAAAAATAGGGCACACATCAAAACTAAAGTGCAATTCGTGTCAAATCTAAGAATTCAATCATTTCTGGTGAATAGGTCTAAGTCACTTCACTGGAATAAACATATCACAAACCATAATGGGTTATTGCACTGGAATAAATATATGAATGATGGTCATAATATATAAATCTGCTTTATAACTCACGCAGATTTCGTGCAGTGAATCGCTGGCACAAATCGGTCAATAAATCGTGACGAACGTCAATAAAGTACATTTTTTGTAAAAAAACCTTACCCGGGTTGGTAACGACAAACTCACGTCAAGCCATCATTTCACAAACTCGCTCTTTCCACACAAGCGTGTGTACGTGCGCAAGTTGGTCGCCATGAAAAACTAAAAAACACACATGGGCCAGGCAGGGATACTTACTCACGCCGCCGTAGCCGCCGCAGCGCAACGGAGGTCCGATCGTTCGTGGCTTGTGTGGGTGCCGCGTCGCGATATGTGAGCGAGCAGATGGGGGGGGGACAGTGCGAGGGAGCAATGTTTGCAATCCCAGTACAGGGGTTAGAGGGACGGCGAGGGGTGGGAGCACGAGGAATGGGGGGTGGAGGCATTGGAGCCACAGGAAACGTGGAGCTGGACACGTTTCACGTGTCATGTGACATGACCATGCGCAGGTCATTGCGTCCCATGGCAAAAAAAGCAGGAATAAAAACCACGCACGCACGTATGTTGTAACGCTTTACAACGTACGATGTGTCCTTGTAAGCGCCAATGAACAGCGCTATGAGAGGTAGTCACACGGCGCGTGGAGTGTGACATCACCGGATGACTTCCCACGTTAAACAGTCATTGGGAGGGCGCTGGTCTCGTGTGTAGGATTTTGGAAAACTTTGATCAACTTGTATATGTCCCAAAACAGCAACAAAACTTGATACTAAAGTTCTGCTCGTATTGGATTTGTATTACAAAGAGCCATTGTGCTCCTGATTGTACAGACACAACAGACGGATGGATGACAAGAGCGAATGGGTGAATGCTTTCAACCTGAATTTGAAAGCGTAAAAAAAACGAGGAACATCTCTTCCCGTTTCATTACCAACTTGCAAATTTTGATTCTGCAGAGATTTCAAACATTCACAAGATAACGTTGTGGAAACCGACTTTTAAAAATCGAATCAACTTCACATTTCTGAATTAGAGAATGGTGTTGACACTGAAATCTACACCTTAACACCAACGACAAAAATGAATACCCAAGTCTGTGCCACTTTCCGTGCCACCCGAGCCTTATAAATGCTCATTGGCACATGTGGATAATGACCGGACTATCTGGGTCTATGACAATAATTACATTCAACTTACAATGCGTATAGTATCTGCTCACTTCCAGATTTGGAGGCTTTCGTGACTGCAAGGATTCATACTCTTTAATTTTTTCGGTAAAGTCACGTAGGTAAAAAATAAAATAAAATAAATGAAAACAACTCAATTAAATCACCTTTCTCTACATTGTCCCCACCTGAAGAAGAACGCTTGTGTTGTGCCCGAAACGTCGTCATTTAATTTAGTTATTTTCAATTATTTGATTGAAATTTTTATCTGCTCACTGTCACCAAAATAAATCTTAGCTCTGCGGTCCTCCATATATCAAGGGGTCACGTGGGAGGAAACTGAAGCACCAGGAGAAAACCCATGCGCGCGATGGTTAAACACATATCCCATAGAGACGGAACAAGTGGAGACTCCACATTTTTGCTGTGCCACCATCTCCGGGCGAGCCAAGGGTGTGTGGGCACCTCGTTTCACAACATTTGTGCGAACCACCTACTCTCGCTGCCTCCACAGTGCTGGATTGCGGGCCACGTGCGTAGGCACCATGCCACGCTAATCCTATGCAAGGCCTTCATGGCGGTGAGAAGCTTCAGGCTGAATGACGAATGGAGGCATAAAAACGCACCCGCCGCCTTTGGAAGGGCCTGCTGGGGGATATGAGGGCTTCACAGCCATTAAGCAATTTTAAGTTAAATCTAAAAACTTGCCTTTTAAAACTTGCTTTTTTACTTAAGATTATTTTATAGTTTCGATTTAAAGCTTTCGTGACTGCAGGGATTCATCTTCTTGGTTCTTTCGGTAAAGTCACGTAGAAGAGAAGTAATAAAATAATAAAAATAATAAAATAATAAAATAATTCTCACGACGTTTCGGCCACAACGCAAGCAGCCGTCTGAATGTTCAGACGCTGTCTTTCTGATAGTCCTGTTCTTCACCTGAGGACGTCGTGAGAATTATTTTATTATGTTTTATTTTTATTATTTTATTATTTCCATTCTACGTGACTTTACCGAAAGAACCAAGAAGATTCTTTTATAGTGTTACTTTTTAAAATATGCCTTCGATAGAAATGTATTATAATGCAATTTTGTTTTGGATGGAATATCCTTTTTTAGTTCTTGCGATTTAGTATTTTAACAATGTTTGCGTTTATCTCTACAGCACTTTGCATTGCATCTTTTGCACGAAATAGTGCGATAGAAATGAAGACTCGATTGATTGACTAAAATATTCAACTCTTCCGCTCGGAAAACAATTCCGTATGCAGAGGCAGTCCCCGAGATACGAACGTCCGACTTACGAACGAAAGATTGAAATTTGATTTAAAGCTTTCGTGGTTCTTTCAGGTAAAGTCACGTAGAAGGGAAATAATAAAATCAATAAAATTCTCACGACGTTTCGATTGCAACACAAGCAATCATCATCAGGTGTGAAAACCACAGCAAGAACATTTTCTTGCCGTATAATTTTGTTGCTGTGCTTCTGACACCTGATGATGATTGCTTGTGTTGCAATCGAAACGTCGTGAGAATTGTATTGTTTTATATTTTTATTATTTTATTATTTTTATTATTTTATTATTTCCCATTCTACGTGACTTTACCGAAAGAACCCAGAATACGCCAAAAATATGTTATTGTTTTTAACCATCTGACTTGCGAACCGAACCGGGGAACTATTTCGTTCGCATGCTGTGCCCCTTTCCAACAAGCAAGCCTGCATCAGGCCTCAAGGCAAGTGAAAATAAATGTTTCCTTTTTTTTTTCACGTTACTTTATTTCACGTTTTTCTTTACTCTAAAGTATTCATATTCTTGGTTCTTTCGGTAAAGTCACGTAGAAGGGAAATAATAAATAATAAATTTGTTTATTTTCTTATTTCCCTTCTACGTCACTTTACCGAAAGAACCAAGAATATGAATCCTGCAGTCACGAAAGCTTTAAATCAAATCTAAAGTATGTATTAAAGTATTACATGCAAATGTTCAATATTTGTTTTTATTTATAGTTTAACAATGCTTCCCTTCTTTTGTTGAACTGTTACACATTTTACAACACTGACCTTGCGTACAATTACATATTGTGATCTGAGATACAATTAAATCGACTTCCGAACGGGTCACAGGAACGTAACTTGTTCGTAACTCGAGGAATGTTTGTAATTGGAAACTTCACCATCTTCCATCCGTGACCCATTGGGTTAAAAAATAATAGTACTGCCCCTTCAGCATTAAAGTGCCTCAGCTATAAGATAACGAACAAAGCTAACAGAATTACAGATCCGGAAGAACGCTGGCGAACAAGAGTGGAACAATGGGGGGACATCCACCATGAACACCTCATTCATTCAAAACCCAAACATCACACACCTCATGGCTTTGCCATTCCTCAAAAAAACGCTGACGTAACCATCAACCGAGGAAGAACATCGACAGGCTGCTGCGCACATCTCCTTCGCGAATGTAAAATAACCGACAAGCCAGAGCAATGCGACTGTGGTTGACTCAAAACAATGACACTCACCAGAAAGCTGCCCGACACTTGCCACTCAGCCTGACGACACTCACCAGCTCCATATTACCGCGCCGTGTAAGGCGGTGTGTGCAATGAGGGGTGGCGCGCACAACCCATTGAAACGAGTGGTTGGTCAAGGTTTATGGCCAAGGGTCAAAGGTCATTCGTCAAATTCAACTCCAAAGGTCCCCCAAGTTCTTACAACCTGAATTGGGCCTCACCAGAGCCCGCACAATGATTGTTACTCAGCATATGCACTGGATGAGTAGTAAAAATGCCTGTGTGTGTATATGTGTTTAAATGTGTTGAAATCTCTGCCTTCATTCTTCTGCTGCTATGCTCAGTGCTCTTCTCCAGCAGCTCACAATTTGTTTTCCAACTCGAGGAAGACATCGAATTTACTCACTTCGTCACATGGGTGGAAAAAACCCGATTTGTCCAGCGGCAGGCATCGGGTTTTTTCTTTAATACAATTAAACCCGATTTCGTGGAATTAAAACATGGTTTAATGAATATGAAACTCTGATCCAAGGCTTAGGCTGCTTCCTCGTCGGTGCTGCTATCGTACTCGGGGGGGCCGTCGGGCACGGGGTAGTCGTAGAATGCGGCGGGCAGGTTGGTCTTGATGAACACGAGCTTCTCCTCCACAATCGTGGGTGCCAGTGAGTTACTTCGCTTGGAATGGATGAAGCCCATCGTTGAGAAGTGCGGTTCTTAAATTAGAACCAATTAAACCGGATTTCTCCAAATCTCAGATGATCGGGTTTAATATAAAAAGACAATTAAACCCGATTGTAAAAAACCCGACTGTGCCACCATTGCTTCGTCAAGTCATGTGTATTGCATTCCAAATTCATAATTTAATTTTGGATGAGTTCACGTAATGAGCTGACCCGAATTTGTGTTCTTAAGAACCCTGCAACACCCAACACGGCCAAACAAATTAAATTGTTACGCGTACAAGCGTTTAACGACGCATGGATTATATTATTATCGTTTTAGCTCATTCATCGGTAATTTGAATAACGATACTCACAACTTAATTAGTATCGTATTGCTAATTTGACACTGGTGCGTGAAACACCTTGCTTCCTCATGTCTGCACGGAATATCTCTGGAGATTTTCACTCTCCCATTTCATTTCAATAAATCCATTGCTGCGATGTTTTGAATCCATTGGAAATCTCACCACTTTCAAATCCGATACCAGCAATGCGCTTCACATTACGTCTTGACCTATCGTCTTCAAGTGTTATTTTTCAACACCAGTGACTCCAGATCATGTAACCCAAGCTATGTACCACTTTATACTGGTAGGAACGAAGTGGACCAGCCTGCAATAGATTATTTCATCCGTCCGTCCGTCCGACCGTCCGTCCGTCCGTGTAGCAACATCGCCCCCTACTGCAAACACTTGGCATGACCCTACAAAAACCTTTAGACTCAGTGACGCTTTCCTGGCTAAACAAGTGTAACATTCCCATATAATTCCCTCAGATAGCTTTTAATTAAAACATTTAAATTAATGAGGCTTTCCTGGCTAAAGACGTGTAACATTCCCTTTTAATTCCCTGAAATAGCTTTTAATTAAAACTTTGAAATTAAATAAAAAAACGCACAGCGCCCTAAAGCCTACAGCTAGGCCTAAAGCCTAGAACTAGGCCTCACAGTCTCCCTTCGTATCGTACCCCCGCGTGTGTGCAAGGGAGTTAA